CGGCTGCCGACCTTGGGCACGTCTCGCCCGCTGCCCCGCGGGGAGGGCGCCCGGACGTGCCGGGGAGCGCGTTCTGCTCGCTCCTCCTGCCACCGGCGGCGTGGAAGGCGGCAGGAACGCCGCGTTCAGATAAGGCTGCACCTTTCCCACCCAGCAGATGCGAGCCCAAGAGCATCCCACTGGATTGCATAATGACAGCGTGGAGCCGAGCGGCCGCAGCCTTTTTCCGCTGTTGGGCGGCAGCTGTTGTGTGCGCGCTGCTCTTGATGAGGTTTTTTGTTTTTGCTTTGTTGTCAGATGTGTCACACGGTTCGGGGTAGGCGCTCGGAAATTGTACTTTTTTTTTCTGCGTGCAGCTGATCTGAGACAAGGAAACAAATCAGTTCCTTTTAAATTTCATTTCCCCTGTCTTGTCCTGCTCCTTCCCCGCTGTAATTGGGCTTCCCTGCTGCAAGCGCTTTTTGGTTAGCTGTCAGGGGAACGTTCCAGCAGGGCACGTCCTGGCTCAGCACTGCGCATCCTGAGGAGCTGATCCCATCCGGCACCCGGGCAGGAGCGCGTTGCCTCCCACTTGCACCCTGCCTCCTGCTCTGGGGTAAATGGGTTATTTCTGAGGCAGGAGGAGTTTCTGCATAAAAACTTTAATAAAAGAGAAAAGCAGGGGCTGGGTGTCTTTGATGCTCTGCAGGCTGGGGGCTTCTTGCAGCCCCCTTGGATCGGGTGCTCAAGGAGCTCAGCAATGGAAATGCCCGGGGAGGGAGGCAGGGAGTGCGCTGTGTGTGCCCTCAGTGCCCCGAGGCCCCGTCCTGCCGCCCTGGTACATTAAGCTCTCTCCTTAATTTGTACAGGCCATGCTGTTCCTTTCCCTGATGAGTTTGTGCTCAAGTAAACGAGACAAAGGGCACGGGGAAAGCGTGGGGCACAGCGTTGGTGCAGCAGAGCACGGTGTGTGACCACCGGCATCCTTCCCCCCCAGCGGGGCTGGTTCCAGGGGGCTCCAAACAGCAAAGGGAGGTGTGGGGAGGCGCAGGACCCCGGCCCTGGGTGTCGAGGAGGGATTAGATGGGATTGCTGATCTCCAGCTTTCGATGCTGGCGCAGTGAGATGCTGCTGAACGCCAGCGTTTCGTCTCCTTGTGAAGAACTTTTGGGCTTTGGATGGGGTCTAAACCATCCCGAGGGATTCGTGTTGGTGTCAAAGCTTGCGTTGCTTTTCTAAAGCTCTTACAGACTCCATCCAACAAGCGGGATTTATCTCAGATTGCTTCATTTTCCTTTTCATTGCTCCGAGCTCTCCAGCAGCACCCTGGGCACTGCAGGCTCTGAAAGCAGCCGGGTGCAGCTCCTTGGGAAGAGATCCTGCACTGCAGGGGGAGCAGCCCCCACACCTCCTCTGAGCATCTCCTGCATCCTCTGGATGCTTCTCATCCCAATCACCCGGTGCTGTCACGCAGGGAGGCAGCGTGTGAGGCCCGAGCAGGTCATCCTGGGTGCCTGGGGCGGGCAGGCTGCAAGCAGCTGCCTTCTCGGGGTGGCTGCGGAGCCCTGCTGCTGCCCCTGGGGTTTCTCCTCCACCCTGCTCATCGCCCTGGTCCCGAGTGCTGCTTGCTGGGACCCGGAGCCGTGCAGTTTGGATGCAAGAAGTTGAGGGGCTGCTCCCTGCTGGCCGGGTTGCCCTTCCACACCGCCCTGGCTGGCTGCGTGCCGGTTCGGGCGCCGCTCCGAGCCGCGTCGAGTTTTCTGGCATCTTCTCCGAGTCGCTTTTTTGTTTCCTGAACTTCAATTTTCTCAGCGGTCCCTTATGGAGAGTAACAGCTGTCTCTCCTGACGGATGTGTTTTGCTTCCAGCCTCTCTCTCCATCTTTCTCCCGCAACGCATCTGCTCCATGCGCACAGCCTGCGCCGCGCACAGCTCGTGCCCTCGCCCTCTCCCCACAGGATTTGGGTCCCAGCCCGATTCCACAATCAATCCTCGCACCCTGCTGGCAGCCTTCCCCTCCTCTTGTCCCAGCGGGTTGCTCAGGTGGCTCGTGCCCTCTTGCTCTTCATCAGATGAGCGTGAAATCAGACCCAGACCTCTGTCAGCATTTGGGGGGCTCTCCAGAGTCTCCCAGCTTCCAGCCGAATTGCTGGCGTGGTGTTTTTATTCCCGATGTGATTTTAGTTGCAGTCACTGTGTGCATCTCCCAGTAAACAACTGAAGCTTTTATTGAAGATGCAGCAGCCTCTCTGCTGGGCAGAGGAGCCCAGATAATTCCACCAGCTCTTCGAGGCTGCTCCCACTGCTTCTCCAGTGCATCCTAAAGCATGAAATATTTATCAGTTATAAACGTTTGTGTGATTATGCATATGTCTTACAAAGAAGTCTGCTCTGTCAGGTCTTACATAAGAGCTCTGCTTGGTTGTTTGTAAACTTCCTTAGGAAATTCTTCTTCAGTGGCTGGAATCACCAGCTTTAGCTGGTTCTGAGAGATCCCAGGGACTGTTTACTTGGCTTTATTTTTTAATTTATTCTCTGCACATGAATCAAACTTGAAACTCATGTTTTTACCTTAAATTCAGTATAGGTCACAGGCAGCAAGGACGAGATTTTCTGGTTTTTGGGAAGCTTTGCTTTTAGGCCTGAAGGATCGGTGAATTTTCGGTCTGCATGGGGTCGAACAGAAGCGGTGTGTGGGTGAGGAGAGGAGCTGAAGGCAGCAGGGCAGCGCCCAACGCAGCGCCCAGAGCTGCGCTTCCATCCCCGGCTTCTCCTTCTGGAGCTGCTCCTCACGCTCCTGAGTGCCCCCTCATTAAGCTGCACCAAATCGGATAAGAATCATTTCAATTAGCTTGCTAAGTATTGAAACTTCCCCCGGCAGAGCTCTGCTGCCCCGCAGACCCGAGCGCCAGCTCTCGTGGCTGTGTATAACCCCGAAGCTGGAGCTAAATCAGTTTTTGCAAGGCCATCTGTCAGCTTGTTTGAGACGAGCACAGCCGAGCACCGTGTGCTGAGGACCCAGCGGAAGATTTTTTTTCATTTTCTGCCTAGACGGGTTGATTTCATAAAGCCGATTTTTCTCTTTGGAGAGGTTTTGCTGGTGATGCCCTTGGCCACCTGAAGCATCGTTCCTCCTGGCAACCCCCGGCTCTCGCCCCAGCACCCTCCCTGCGAGCACGCCGCCGGTGTTGATTCCACACTTGGTACGTGTACAGCAGCAGACACTTACAAGCTGAGAACGAAAGCAGCTTGTGGTAATTATCACAAAATTAAAGATAATCTCCTGCTCTGGAATTGTGACAAAGTGCAGAAAAGAGATTACTGCGGCTCGTCAGCAGCGCGGGGCAGTCGGGGAGCGGAGCAGCCTGCGCCGTTCCCAGCCGATGCAGTGCTCAGCAGGGAGCTCCCAGTGCCCTGGCTCCCCTGCCCTTTGCTGGACTTGGTGTTGAATGACCTTAAAATCGTTTGTCCTAGGCCCAAGATCTAATTTCCAGCTCAGGACCCAAGCGTGCGTTGATCGGGTGCGGTGTCTGAGCTGGCGATGCCCGGCGGCAGCGATTCTCCGAGCTGAGCCGCGGTGTGGTCCCAGGGTGCTGGGAGCTTTCACCCCCAGAGAGACAGAGGCAGGCAAAGCCTGGGGTCGGGGGGCTCACGTTGCTGGGGGCTCGCATTGCTGACTGCTGAAAATACCCCGTGGATGTGCCCTGTTTGCATCGGGGCATCCCCAGTTTGCCCAGGCCCCTGAGATAACCTCAGCGCTTCTGCCTGAGCGCGATTCCATCTCCCCTGTGCCCGCCAAGGGTTTTTGTTGGTTTTATTCTGCTTCCCACTCGAAATGTTTCCTGAAATATACCCGAATCGCTGTTCTCAGCTGCAGAGCAGCGTGCTCTCTTACGCCTGACTTCTTGCTCAGGTTCCTTTGCAAACAAGCCCTGAAGCATCTCTGCTTGTGTTTTAGGAGGGCGAGCGGTTGCCCCGGTTAAACCATCCCAAATCCTCTTTGGCCAGCTGGGGAGATGCTGAAGTAGCAGCGCCTTGGGCTGGTTCCTCCAGGGCTTTCCCTGCTCTCTGGCCTGAAGGACCGGACACCTCGCACGGCCCCCAGCTCCTGCAGATATTCCTCTCGAGCTGGGGGGCTTGGCGTGCCGACAGGCGCTTGTGTAACCCCCCCCTCGCCCTAAGTGGGGAACGGTCAAGGGCTCACGAAGAGCCCCGCTTCTGCGTGGCCACAGCTCTCGAGTTTTGCTCCCTGGCCTCTTGCAAAACAAAACCCCTGCTGCAGGCCTGCAGGTTGCACAACCTCCTCCTGGGCGGGCAGCTCCAGGTCCTCGCTCCTGTCCCTGAGGGGCTCGGGCTGGAGCCGTGGGACCCGTGCGTGGCTTCGCCGCTTCCTCCCCGGTTGCCAAACTCCTCGCAGCGCTCGCCACGGCCAGGGCAGGGGAGCAGAAGCTGGCCTCGTGTCGGAGGAGGGCTGTGGGTTATGGCTTGGTGCTTCCAGCTCTGGTCACGTATCTGAAAGCTTCAGGCAAAATGCTGTTGTTTTTTTTTTTGCCGTTCGCCGTAATGGGGAAGTGGTGGCTTCTCCCAAAGGCAGGGGTGGAAATAAATGATGGATTTGATTTTGTGATATATTTGGACCTCGTGTTCTATAAATAGGTTCAATTATTGATATGCTTTGTCAAGGGCCTTCTGAGAGGCTGGAAAGCAGCTCCGTAAGTGTCTGGGCCACTGTGCGTAACCGCCTGCGGCGCGGCGTGGGCCTGTTGCTCGCAGTGCAGCAGGGATTAGGATGAGCTCTGTACTGAAACCTCGGGGAAAAAATAATGCTAGGAAAAATGGTGCACCTTTGTGTTCCTATAAATTGGGTGAACCCAATAACTTCAGGCTCCTGAAATTGAAAACTGAGCAAAAGCTTTAAAGGCTTTCCAGCCTGCTTGAAGGAACAAAGCATTAGGCTATTGTCTGAGTAGTTTTAATCTCATGTGACTACTTTTGCTAATGCTCTCCCTTTTTCTCCTCAGGTCTGGCACCAAAGAAAGCAGCCATCACTGAGGTGAGATGCTCTTGAAAATCCTGTGCTGAGAAATGAGAACGCAGAGCTCTTGAGAATGCCTCCGCATGACTTTTTTGAACAGGGCCAGGGTTTAAAATACATTGAAGTTTACTGAGAATTTGATATTGGTAAGGTTATTTGGGAGACAGAAAATTAATGGCAGCTTTCTGGTGTCTGTGTGTTGGTGTGACCACAGCCACAGAGAAATGGGAAGGGATTTTGCCCTCCCTGTGCCCAGTTTGGGCTGTGGCTCCGTGACATCTGCCTGTGAGTGGCTGGATCTGGCTGGGGACACTTCTTCCATACCGGCACCTGGAGCTCCTCCTGTCTCCAGATGGAGACTCCACGTCTTGGACACCTCCAGGGCTTTGTGCTGGGTCTCGTCCCCTTCTGGGAGGGGGCAAGGTGACTGTAAAGTAGGGAGCCCTGAGGTGGGAGCATCCTGGGGGACTGATTTTCTGCACGTATCCAGGTCTCAGGTTGCTGAATCACTGGTACCTTCTGGAGCAAAACTCTTCACAGTTGGCAGCAGGGAATCTGGTGGGAGGATCTGTGGCTGAAAGCTGTTCCCTGAAGCCCACACTTGTGGTTTAGGGCACCGCGTTCAAATGGGTTTTGTTTTATCTGATTTTCTGACATAGCCCTTCATATTTCTCACCTGAGATGCTGAACGTTAGCATACATGAATAGAAAACTCTTCCCGTAAGCTGCCAGGAATGTGGCACTTAATTCTTTTTGACTGCCCAGAAATATGCATAGTAGAAAACTCAAATCCTGTAAAAGTTAATTGCTTTTTTTCAACATACAAATAGCTCCCCTCTTTCTTGCCCTGGAAACGCAGTACAAGTAGAGTGAGGGACTGTGAAAGACTTCAGTCACTGATTTTCATACAGCAGTGGTTTCCTAACCAATGCCCACCTCTGTTAATGCTTTGAGGATGGTGACGAGCCACAAGGAGAGGTGGGACAGTGCAGCATGGGCTTGCGTGTAAGAGGATGCAGCTCCCTGGTTCGAAGCTGCAAGGAAATCTTTGCTGCTGATCACACCTCCGTGGAGGAGGAGTGTTTGGATGCGAGCTCGGCTGTGCTAAATGTTTAGAACAGAGTAGGAAGTGAGGCTCTGAAGGAGAAATCAGGCTGCCCCTTAGCTGCAGAAGTACAGGCAGCCTGTCCAGAAATAGCTGCAAGCTCCTGATTAGAAGCTAAAACACAAAGAGCTTCTGTAGTCTGAACAAAATTATGCGCTGTCTGCTGTAGACATCAGTTCTGAGAGATGAGTGTGTGCAGCGCTTAGAGAGAGAGCGATATGATGTTGTCACTTGGGAAATGACCTTGGGTCTCGCTGCACGCTGCTTAAAGTGCATCCAAGGCCTGGCTGTTCTGTAATGTAACAAAACCCCAAAAGTCTCTGGTGCTCGCCAGCCATCGCAGCTATCTGATGGGCTCTGCGGTGCTGGGGCAGCAGGCAGCAGGTGGGACCCTGCCCCGTGGCACAGCGAACAAGTCCCAGCCCTGGGGCTGCATCAGGAGCTGTGTCCAGCCTCACCAAACGTGGTCACATCGGGTGGTCAGGGTACAGCTGCCATCTGCTCCCTCCTGGATCAGCAAAAACGGCCTGGATGGACTCAGAAGTAGAGGAGGAGATGGGGTAGGGGGAGATTTGGTCTCCCTCTGAAGTGCTGGCAGCCCCACAGCGTTTCTGTAGACTCTGCAGAACTTCAGGAAGAGCTGTTTTTGCAGTTCACCCTGTGTGGGCTTGTCCTTTGAACTGTTAACAAATGAGATCTTGCTTAAATGGATTATCTCCGTGTGAACACAGGAGTGGGGTTGCGTTATCCCTGTTATCCGCCTTTTATTTCTCAAGTCAAGTGCGAGGCGTTGGTATGAAACCTGAGGGCATGGGATTTTTAAAAAATATGCTTCTCGCAGTTTGATTTAATACATCCCTATTTTTAATCGATGAGAAACCAAAGTCAGGCAACCGGGGAATCCTGGCAGCTGGGAGGCAGCGCTGACCTCTCCTGGCTCGGGGTCTGTGCCCCGTTAGTGCTGAGGTTGTCGGGTGGAGCAGCTGGGTATCCTCACCCCTCCTGTCTTGAAGGATGAATAAATAATTCAGACAGCCTTGTTAAAAGCTTGCCAGTGCCAATTAGACCTGGGTGCAGATTTTTCCACAGTAGTAGCGATCGCTCCATCCTTTATGATCGTGGTGATGTGATGCAGCCTGTGCTCTGCTGGGAAGTCACCGTGCCCTTTCGTTGCAGGGACCATCGCTTCCAGGACAGCCTGGCCAAGGAAAGAAGATAGGCCATCGAGGTGTTGATGCTTCTGGTGAAACCACTTACAAAAAGGTTTGGTTTTGGGGTGTGGGAGGGCGGTAGCGATGTCAGTGGTAGGCTGAGAAGCTGGGGCCAGGAGTAGAAATGGCACAGCTGAGCTTTCCTGGTTCAGTTTGTTAATAGCTACCAGTCTGATTTAGGTTTTATGCAGCACCCTTGGACTGTGTAGTCTTGTGGACTACAGACCTTCTGAATCCACCTATTCAGGAGTCAGCTGAACTTATTTAGCAGTGTATGCTGCTCAGGATGACCCAATGGAAGTCACAGACTTGGCTGTATTGTAATACAGGGAATATTTTTGTTCTCATCTGCTGGGAAATGCTCACTGATGGCTCTTTCCTTTCTGCCAGACCACTTCATCCACTCTGAAGGGGGCCATCCAGCTAGGGATTGGATATACTGTCGGCAATCTGAGCTCCAAGCCGGAGAGAGATGTCCTGATGCAGGACTTCTACGTGGTGGAGAGCATTTTTTTCCCGAGGTAAAGGAGGCAGGGAAACAAAATGGACGGATGATTTATTTCTTTTCCTCTCGCTGATTTTTCAAGAGAGCTTCCATCTGTCTTTAGATCACAGAGATGGATGCTCTGAATGTTTTAAATATGCATCTATTTCATACAAACATAGCAGTGGGAAGTGTTAGATTCCGCAGAACACTGACTTGCAAGGAAGCACAATGTAAGGTACAGTGCTGTATGGCTGGGTTTGTTAGTCTTGCTGTGCGCTTTCTTTCTACCTGTCTGTAGAATTTTTATCTCAAACACGGCGTAATTTCAAGGGGGAAGCTCATTCTGGGAGCTCTTTAACTCTCTGTAACAAATCTCATGAAAGCTATGTTCCCTGTTAAATGCATTCAGCTTTACAAGCTATTCCTTGCAGTCTTTGGAAATAGGTTTTGGCAGATAATTTTAAACCGACTTTCCTGTTGTTCTGCCACAGAAGAAAGCTGTTTTGTTATGGGTGGCTTTTTTTCTTTTTTTGTTCCTAAGAGGTATTTTTACAAGGCTCAGTTTCATATACAGCAGCCTCGATGTGGCCGTACCTATCTGTTGAATGGTGATACAAAGGGTCGCTCATCTGTAATGTCTGTTTTGTGCAGTGAAGGAAGTAATCTTACCCCGGCTCACCATTACGCTGACTTCAGGTTCAAAACCTATGCACCGGTGGCTTTTCGGTACTTCCGAGAACTCTTTGGGATTCGTCCAGATGATTATTTGGTATGGATTTATTTTTCTGTCTTCCCTATTTTATTCGAGATGATCCGGAGCAATACAGCAAATCTGCCCCTAAATCAAGGCTGTCAGCTCCTCTTGTCTAAAAGGGACAGAGAAGAGCCAAGGAATCTCTCTGATCCCAGCAAGGAGTGGGAACAGGCTGTGGCTTTAGGGGTTCCGTTTTGGAGATCCAGTGACCGTCCCAGTAAGAGCAGCACCACTCAGCCGAAGCCCTCGTTAGCTCACACTGGAGGGAGAGGAAATGATCTGCTTTAAGCGTGTGCTGCTAAGCTGGGTTACGGGGTTCCCTCTCTTGCTGGTGGTGACAATAACTTGCTGTGTTTACAAGCAAAAGGGGTTTGTGTTCGGCTGGGTGCAACCCTGTAATGTCCCCTGGGGCTCTGAGGACAAAGACGGGAATTTGTCCTTGTGCACTCACTTGAGAACTATGTGAGTGTAGCTGTGTTAATCATCTTATGCAGACGGAATAAAACACAGCTTGTTCTTGTGCTCAGAAAGCTCCTTGGAGCTGTTTTCTAAACTACCTAGTAATACAAGCTGGAGGGGCTTGGAGTGCACTGGGGTTAATTTTGGTCCCCCTGCATGTTTGGAGCAGGACACTTGTGGAACTGGGAAGGAGGACACATTAAATGAGTGCACGCCCTCCCCCTTCTGATAGCCATTTTTTTCTGACTTCAGCAGTAGGCAGGGGTAACCATAGCTGAAAACACACAAGAAGAAACAAGTCTGTGCCATTGCACGGCTTGACAGTAACGGCGCTCCCCATCTGTGCCATCTGAGATAATGCTGGCTGATGTGATGAGTGCCTCAAAACCCGGGTGAGGCAAAGAGCCTGCCTCGGTTGCAAAGGTCACAGCTCTGATTTGTTGCTTCTGTTTCCCCTGATTCTCTCTTGCCTGCCACAGCAGCAAATGCCTTTAATTATGCATGAGATAATTAACTTGATAAAGTCTTGGATCATTAATCTGAGCAGTGCTGAAAGCTGTTTGCAGTATGTAATGATGAGCATTTAATTTATTGCTCTGATTATGGCCCTTACGTACCCCTACCTTCCTCTCCCCATCTTACCTCTCGCTGTGGCCGCTCTGACACGAGCTGCCCTGAACCTGCTCAGCCTACGCAGATACCCTGGGGTTGGTCCCTCGCTGCAAAGTGCACGTCCACACTTCTGCTTTCTATTTCTCTGCAGCTGCAAGGCATGTCCTCAACCGAGGACCTGCTGTTTGCGTCCTGTTATCTAGCACTGTCCTCCCGATGCGGTCCCCCTGCTGTTCTTAGCACTGATCCCTCTCCGTGTTTGGACACCTGGTCTCATCCTTTTTGTGCGTTTCCAACAGATCGGGGGTGAGATGTGGCTGTAAAACACATCTGGAGCAGGGGAGCACGAGGGCAGAGGAGGCTGCTGAGAACAGCCAGTGCATCGTGTTCCCTCCAGCACGGAGAGACGCGGTGCCCCGAGCAGACTGTCATGTCTCTTAAAATCCTATCCGTCTGTCTGCGCTTGCAGTAATGTGCTGAAAGAAGCCTAAATGTGGCACGCACGTACATGCACAATGGGAAAAGATAAGATGTCATTATGAAGCCTGGATGTTACTGAAAGCAGCAGATTAGCTTGATTCTGAACAGTTGGGATGCTCTGAACTGTAATCTCACTCTCTAATTGTAAATTGTCCATCAGCTTTGCTGCTTAGACCTAGCCTATAATGAAAATAATTCCCTTTAAAGCTTTGCTACCCCATAATCTCACAACGAGGCAGTGTACTGGGGAAAGACCTCAAGGGCCTAGAGCTCAGTGTGCAATGAGCTGGGGCTAAAAACGTCATCTTTTTTTTTTTTTCCCTTTTTCTCCCTAGTATTCATTATGTAATGAGCCTCTGATAGAGCTGTCAAACCCTGGTGCCAGTGGCTCTCTCTTCTATGTCACCAGCGATGATGAATTCATCATAAAAACTGTGATGCACAAGGAAGCTGAATTCCTCCAGAAGCTCCTTCCTGGCTACTACATGGTGGGTATCACCCAGCTCCTTGGACCTGCGTTTGTAGTGGCAGCTTTTTTCTCCCAGGTGCTGCTCAGGGCACGTCCCCCACCCCAGTTTCTGGAGACCTGCCCACCCTGTGCCACTGCAACATCAACAGGCACAAAAGCCAGTCCCAGAAGCACAAATCCTGCCAGTTATTTGCAAGCTCTGTAGGTAAATCTGGGGGGGAGGAGGGAGGTGACTGTGAGCTTGTCGACAGCTTCTGGCCTGGAAATGGTTTCCCAGCCGTGTCAGGGTGCCCTTTTCCCAGCACTGGCTCGTTCTTTGCTTGGCACCGTGCCTCTGCCTGGCTTTGAGGGTGGTTGTTGACTGCAGTAATGCAACCAGCTTGGTTTTATGGGGTAACCACTGCTGCCCCAGGTATGTCCCACGCGTGCCATTGAACAGTTACTCTGAAAGCAGCTGTCGGTTGTTGTGGCTCCTGCTGGCTGCGGTGCCAAGCTCAGGAACCCTGCAGTACCACCAGCTTAGCACACCCAGCCTGCTGCAGGTAGTTGTAACCTAAATCTGAGTGCTAGCAAGCTGTATTATTACTGTATTATTATTACTGAGGCCCACTCGCATGGGATGACAAGCAGTAAATCAGAACCAAAGCCCAGCACCCAGAGAGGCGAATAAACCAGGAGCTGCCTCCCTGCATAACTGTGCTGAAGGATCCAGCTTCATACCTAAGGGCTCTGCAATTCCCTGAGGAGCACCCAGGGATTTGTTCGCCATGGAGGTGCCGAGGAGAAGGTCGTGTTTATGGCAGGGGGTGGTAATGCTGCCCCATCTGTGTGCGTGTTGCAGTGGGTTTGATTTATGTGTTTGTACACTCTCCGTTCCGAAAAGACTCGTCTCGCTCTGCACATTGGGGAAAACTTGCTAGAACGATGCAGGGGCTGGGTTGTGGTGTGTATCTGGCAGCCAGCTGCGTGATTTTGGAAGTGGCAGTGAAGTTCCTGGAGAGGATGAGCGATTTTGGAAAGCATCGCTGTTGTCTAATGTACAAAATAAATGGGAACGGAGCTGCACTGTGGCCCTGAGTTGTGCAGTTGCCCTGGCTAGCACCCAGGTTAAAGAATTGCACGGAGGTGCCTGTCTGTGCCGAGGGACGTGCTGCTCGTAGCACTCACACGGTTGTGGTCACTGCGGTGCTAACACACGCTGCTCTGGGGAAATCCATCCAGTGTGAACGGACTGGGTGAAAAAGGAAGCAGAGGGGGCTTACCTGAGTCACCTTAAAGCTGGGCAAGAGCTGTTTGCATTCGGTCTCGGCTCCTTCTGTTGTTTTTAGCTTGCCCTGTGCTGAACAGCACGCTCACAAGGAGGGCTCGCTTGTGAGTCCAGCTAGGTGAGGTGAGATGTGGGGCGTGAAATTGTAATGCAGTTGTGCTTCTCCCATCTGTCAGAGAATCTGTCAGGCCCGTCCTTCCCTTCACAGCATGCGGAGATGTTCTGTTTCCTTCCCAAATTTCTTCCCGAAGCTGAACAAGCAATTCGTGTCTGTCATGTCGTTCCTAATAATGCAGCTGCCTAAAAAAAGGACATGATAGCAGAGCAGGATATCCGTGCTCTCTGACCAACTGTGTTTTTATAAAGCAACTCTCCAGAAGGAGGAGGAAATTGATGTTGTTTTGTTTAAAATTTTAAAAAAAGTACCGTGTCCCTGGTTTATTCTGGGCCAGAGAACGGCTCTTGATTTCTGACACTTCTGAAGAGATGGAGATAGCTGTTATTTTTAAACTTGAAGTTCCCACTTATTTATGTTTTTCTCTTCCAGTTTGGTTTCCCTTTTTTAGCTGCTGTTGATGGGGAAAGCAGGGAATTTCCGGACTTGGTTATTTGCCCAGAGAGAGATGAACATCTCATTCCCTGTATTCAAGGCAGAGTGGTATTTTCAGGTCCTAGAGCCACTGCAACACAAGGGTTGGTCAGATGTGTGCAGTGAGCTCTGATGTAAAGTTCAGAAAATCTCTAGGTGAAGAACCCCTAGTCTGTCTGCTCCAAGATCCACTAATGTGCTCTGTGTTGAAAACAGCAAAACAATCAGGAATCCTCTTCAAAATGACCTCTGCTGATGCTTTTTCCAACCCCATTTCAGAACCTGAACCAGAATCCACGGACGCTGCTGCCAAAGTTTTATGGACTGTACTGTGTGCAATCAGGGGGCAAAAATATCCGCGTGGTGGTGATGAACAACATTCTGCCTCGTGTGGTGAAAATGCACCTGAAATTTGACTTGAAAGGCTCAACCTATAAGCGCCGGGCATCCAAGAAGGAAAAAGAAAAGTCCAGCCCCACATACAAAGACCTGGACTTCATCCAAGACATGCCCGAGGGCCTGATGCTGGATGCAGACACCTTCAGCGCGTTGGTGAAGACGTTGCAGCGAGACTGCCTGGTAAGGAGGGGGCAGTTTGGGGAGCAGATTAACAAAGCCTGCGGCTCTCAGGCATGAGGAAGAGCATATGACTGAGAACCTTACTAATCTGCTAACCCCAAAGCAGGATAAGTCCTCTGCTGCTCTTTACCCTGAAGGCAAAGCAGTGGAGTTGGATCTTGTGACAGTCTCCAAGGACTAAGCCCGTGCCCCTCTGCCTGATGCCTAAAATTGCAGCATTCTTGCCAGTTGTAGCTGGGCTGTTGGGAATAAACACATTTTTCTTATGCAGTGTGCAACAGATAGCTGGTACAGCAATGTTACTGGTGTGCCCTCAGCCCTTCGGGGTGTGGAAATTCTATGCAGACAAGCTCAGAAATGTTCAAGCTCTGGCAGCGGAGTTGTTAGCATAAAGGTGGACGGGCTGTTCCGTGCTTTGGGGTCTGTGCTTTGTTTGAACTGCTGGCCTGATGTTTTGTCTTTATTCTCATACCCGATACTAATTTGTAGGTGTTGGAAAGTTTTAAAATCATGGACTACAGCCTCCTGCTCGGGGTTCATAACATAGACCAGCAAGAACGGGAGCGGCAGTCCGAGGGAGCCCACAGCACGTCGGATGAGAAGCGCCCCGTGGGGCAGAAGGCACTTTACTCCACAGCCATGGAGTCCATCCAGGGGGGGGCTGCCCGGGGGGAGTCCATAGACACAGACGACACGTAGGTGAAAACCTGGTCCTCTTGTGCTGCTGCAGGGGCGGAGGTGGAGGCTGGAGCAGGAAATCCCTAACTGAGGCCCTTGTGGGCCATATGGGCATCTCTGCTGGGGTTATGGCCCTGCTGCCTTCAGCTGTCCCAGCGGCTGTGGTGTGTGAAACCAGCTGCTCTGGTTTTGGTGGAGTCACGGTGGAGCCAGGAAATATTTGGCATTTCAAACAGCATCCTTAATTGCAGTGCCTGCCTGCTACCTGCATGCTCTCGTTGTGTGCTCGTGCTGGTGGTGCTGCACCTTGGACTGGTATTAATGGGGATGGCACTGGGAATGTGTTCGTCCTTAAAGATCTGCTGCCCTAACAGGCAGGCAGTTCATGCTGCCTTGGGTCCCCAGAATAAAATATTGTCTAGCTAAGTAAAAAACATGGTGCTTTCTGGCCCAGGTAGAGGTGTTGGCATGCAACACAGATCCTGTGCTGATATTTGGTGATCTGAGCAGCCCGTAGCTCTGGGTCAGTAGGTGACTTGCTGACAAAGGGACTGCAGGTTTTGGGTTGTCTGACCACCACATCACAGGGTCCTGTTTCCAGTGCTGCCTCCTGCCCTTCCACAGGTCTCACTCGGGGTGTTACAGCTGGTTTTAAGGCCGTGCTCACTGGGGTTTTGTCTCACCTGCAGGATGGGAGGAATCCCAGCAGTGAATGGCAAAGGAGAGCGTCTCCTGCTCCATGTAGGAATCATCGATATTCTTCAGTCATACAGGCAGGTATCTCTGCACTCATCTATCTTCTAAGTGTGGTAACATCTATTTTAATGCTGAATGAAAGCAGGAAGATTTTCCTCTCCTGAAGAGTTTGATAATGAGTAGGCACGCTACCTGAAGCTGTCTGTTGATGTACATTGGGGGCTGTGGGTTTTGTTCTTGTCCTTAAAACAGCTGGTGACACAGAGCCATTTTTTAAAGGTATAACGAGTTGCTCATAAAGAAGTTCCCTGTCTCAGTGCCTGGGACAGACAGCATATATCCAGGGGTGGAGGGTGATTTTCTGCCCCTCTTACAGCCCCACGCCTCCTTCCCTGGAGGGTTCCCAGGCAGTCCTGACCCAGCTGCCGAGCTGACAGTGTGCTCGGCTGACCTCTTGGCTGGAGGAAAGCTGCTCTGCAGATGAAGATGTCATTAGCAGCTCAGCGATCTCTCCTGTGCGGGGTACAAAAGGTGTCTTAGACATGGAGTACATGCCTGCAGCTGATTCCTTCTTTCTCTCTGCTTCTCCCCTTAAATTAGGTTCATCAAGAAGCTGGAACACACCTGGAAGGCCCTTGTCCATGATGGGGTGAGTGTCTGTGCAGAGGCAGGAGTTGTCCAGGTCTCAGCAGGGTTACCTGCTTCGGCTTCATTTATGCTACTTGGTGCCAATTACCTCGCTATTTATAGTGCCTGAACTGGTACAGCTGAAGCTGATGAAAGGAATAGTTCTTGCCTCTTAAGCCTCCACAGCGGTGTAGTACCACTTATTCCCAATCAGGTTCTCTTGCTCACTCCACCTCCTCTCATGCTTAGCTGTCATGCTACCAGCTTTCCTCCTCTGCTCCCATCTGTCATTTTCCTCCTCCCCACAATACCAGGAGCTGTAAGCACAGGGCATGTGCCTTCGTGTATGAGTTGAGGAGCCCTGCGTTTGCTCTTTGGTGACTGACTGCAGTTCCACTTCAGTAAGCTGCCTGCTAATAAATCCCTTTCAGTGTTTCCTTGCTGTCTTGTCCCTAGCAGCAGCCAGATGCGTGTTTACAGAAGAGCAATCTCAGCTGTGAAAAACTCTTCTTCAGCATTGCATATCCGACCTTCCCTTAAAATATAAGGCAAAGGAATTGCGTGGATGCTAAGTCATAGGAGCACAGCTGAACATGGGAAGCAGAGACAGCTCAGTTTTACTATTTAAAACAAAAAGTGCAAAATATTTGAAATGTATGGGGACCTCTGGCTGAATTTTGGTGTCCGTGTCATTTGCAATTATACCCAGGTGTGCTTTGAATGTCAACCAGTAAAGCCAGAAGAAATTCCATATATGTAATCAGGTCAATATTTGAAAAATCCAGAAAGTCTATAAAGAAATAAAATCACCAAAATCCATTATAAAATTACAGTGAGAATGTAATCAAATGCAATCAACTCAAAGGCAACGCTTCAGGCTTATTTATAGCATTAATCAGATCATTTCAGTTAAGCCTTTCCATTTTAAGGATCTGTGAGTGCTAAATGTTGGAATAAAAAAGATTGCATTGGCTGTTATAGAAATTCTGCCTTGAGGGGTAATTTTAAAATGAAACAATTGCTTCTTGCCTTTGTAGGACACAGTGTCAGTACACAGACCCAGCTTTTATGCAGAGAGATTCTTCAAATTCATGACCAACACGGTGTTTCGAAAAAATTCCTGTAAGTACATGGCCCAGGAACCACTGTCCTTGTGATACGGGAGAGTCAGAGCCTTATCTCCATCCCGCTGCGTGCATCCACATGGAGAGTTTCTGGGCAGGAATCTGAGCAGGCTTTTCTGCTGTAATATGAAGCAAAGCTGGGGAGCTGCAGAGCCCTCGGGTGTCAGGGTTTCTGTGTCCTGCCAAACTCCTGCCCAGGAGCTCTCCGTGCAGTGTGTCGGAGGGCAAAGGCCTGTGAGTGGCAGGGTGCCTTTGGTGGTGGTGGTGGTGGTAGTTTCATCTTCTCTTTCATTTTTCTCATCCAGCTCTGAAGTCATCTCCCTCAAAGAAAGGGCGTAGTGCCTTGCTAGCTGTCAAGATGCCTGGTCCAACGGCTGCGTTCTCAGCTAGCCAGCTCCCCTCTGAAAAGGACGAAACGCAGTACGACCTCCGTGCAGCCAGGAGTTACCCCACCCTTGATGATGAAGGTAGTAGTCTTATCCGTGGCTGATGGCTGTGTGGTTACCCTCTTCTTCCTTAGCAGTCCCGTAGGATGCTCCTCAGTCGTCGTTGTGTTCCCCACTGTGCACCAAACGCATCCTCCTTGATGGATAGCTCTTCATTCCCTGTCTTGCTGTGCTTTGCAGGTACTAAACTTAACCAGGACAGGGGAGAAGGTAAGAGGATACTGTCTTGTCACAGTGCTAGCAGTTAGCTGATTGGGAAGCAACATCTCTGCGTTGAAGACCAAATCCTTTCTTTGCAGCACTGTATGGTTCTGCAGTAAAAATGGTCTCTTGGGTCACTGCTGCAACTGGCACTTCCACCTGGCACCAGTGGTTGCAGCCCAAAAGCAATCGTTTGAGATTTCCACCTGTAGAAAAAGGGGACTGTGCACTGCAGGACTTCAGTGTCAGTGTTTGAATGGGGCAAGATCTTGCATTTGGGGGAGAAAAGGAAAAAGGTAAACAGGTCTGGTTCTCTGCCCTTTTCATCACTTCCATCTGGGCTGGATTTACAGACAAGTGGTGGAAGGCAGGCTTCTGGAGCACAGAAGTGTTAGATTGCTATCCGTGCAAAGCAGTGAGCACTCAATTCATCTCTTAATTCACTTGGTTATTTATCTCTGGCAATCCAAGCCTTTAATCCAGCTTTGGTTACCAGTGAGATATCTTCATTGGCATTACATTTTCTGTAGTGTCTATCTGCCGTGCTGGAGTGGTGCTTACTGGCTCTCTCTAGAGGATGCTTTGGGATAAGCTGTTGCTCTCATGAACCAGCTAAACTTGCCTGCCTGAGCCTTCAAATGGCCAGTCCCAGTGAGGGTGTGCAGGTAGAACAGCCTCACGCTGTTGGTGTAGATGTTTGACCTCTTCTTTTTCTTCCTACATCTCTCCTGTCCTCCGCTTTGGGCCAGCAGGCAGGCCAGACCTGCTCCCCTGCACACCTCCTTCCTTTGAAGAAGCTACCACGGCCTCCATAGCCACAACACTCTCTTCAACATCTCTCTCTGTTCCTGAGCGATCCCCCTCGGAGACATCTGAGCAGCCCAGGTACAGGTGAGGACAGTGCCCGTCCCCTGCTCCCACTGGTGTCGAGTGGCTGCCGTTCCTCTTCGTGCTGCAGCTCTCGGTAGGCTGCCCTATGCTCTGGAATGCTAATGACCAATTTTAATTAAATCTCTCCTGGGAGCAAGCAGACACAGCTTTGATGGGATTAATTATTGCTGGGAGAAGTGTCAGCTGTTAAGTAGAACATCTCCCTTATGGGGCAGGGAGTTAGATTTGGGGGCAGTGTAGGATTTCTGCCTTAAACCCCTCCTCTAACTACTATCCTGGTTTCTTTCCGCAGGAGGCGCACACACTCCTCAGGGCAGGATGGCAGGTGAGAAAAGTGTCTCGTCTCCTCTTGCTCTGCTGCACAAGGACCTCACGTTTGTCCCACCTCACTTTTGTCCTTGTGCAAAGGCCTCTTGGAGGGCTGAATGTGAATATTGTCAGCCCCAAGACTTTGGGGTAGTCTGCAGGGTGATGAATTGCTTCCTGCAATCAGATGATCCCAATTTCTTGCACAGAATCCTCACTACAGCAGATCTCCCAGTGCTCTGCAAGGAATCTTTAACATTGTTATTTGATGGGAAAGGGGACAACTTAATTTGGTTGAGTTGTCCAAACTTACCCCCTCAACCAGCACTTGAATCAATGAAAATGGTCCCTTATGCCCCCCCCCCCTCAGTAACCAGGCCTTAAAAGCAGGAAAATTCCCCCTTTGTGCATCTGCCTTGGTGAAGTGGACACGAATATAAGAGAGGGCTCTGACTTTGCAAGGTACTGAGCACCTTCAGACCACCAGCGATGTAACGTGGAGGCTGCGTGAACTTCAGTGTTCTCAGAAACCTGGGTGCTTTGAGGCTTTTTCTGGCCTGTGGTGATGGGTGGCTCGGAGCCAAGGGCAAGGTGGGACAAAACTCCCTGCTGCATAAAAAGTCTGGATTTAGAATCTCACGGCGTGTAATTATCTTGCATGCTTTTGCACCAGTAAAAATAACCCTGTTGCCTGTGTCAGTGGGACCTGAATGAGGATCCTTACGCTTGCTGCTCGCTCTGCCCTAGGTTTCTGGGACATCTTGTAAGTGTTGTAGGTACAGGTTTTGAAATGCACATCACAAACTCAGTCTGGGGATACGCCGTAGCCAGAGGAGCTGCTGGACAGACTGATGTCCTCTCTCTCTGCAGCCAAATTTTGGTGCCTCAGAGGAAGGCAAGGACTTGGGAAGATGGGTGTTAACAGCATCCCACAAACATCTCCCCTCGCTCCTAGTTTTTAGTGATTTGCTGAGTTTCACACCATGCAGCCTGTGGAAAAAATCCTTTTCCAGGGTATTTCTTAATGAATTTTGGGAAGTTCCTGTCACTAGAGGGCAAGTTGCTATTGATTTGCAGCACCCATCCAAGTGGCAGGGACCTGTGAGGCATCTCACCTCCTGCAGAATGCATTGTCTGAAACTGCTGAATATTGGAGACTTAAACTCAGGCACCTGTGCCAGGACCCACTTTGCAAAATGCGGTGACTTCACCTGAATTACTCCAGGCTCCCTCGATACGTCATGGAGGGAGTCACTGCAGGATGTGACTGCTCATCAGAAAATGGGTCAGGTGAATCATGTCCTAGAAGTGAGTGTCCCCAGACCGTCCAGGGACCTTAATGACTTGGTCAGAGGTAGATCTTGCCACAACTACAGCCACCTCACATAAGTGTGACCCTCTTTGTTTTTTTTTGTTTTTTTTTTGTTTTTTTTGCCTAATTTCTCCATTTCTTGCAATGGTATCTACATCCTTTCTAGGGGAACAGGGACCTTTGTGTGTATGTGCGAAAACAAAGTTATTAAAGCAGGAATCTCTGGGAATTTACATTCCTGAGTCGAAATGAAAAAGCCCTTCTCCAATTTGTTTGAGCCTGGAATGTGGCAAGCCTCTGATTACCCTAATCTGCTGGGGAATTCCCTCCAGGTTTGTGAATCCACCCCTACAGCAGCACCGACCCGGATGGAGTGGTGCTGCCTGCTGGCTGCAGCTCTTGGCTGAGCACCAGCCAGGGATGGAGCAGAGCTGGCCAGGGCTTCTCGGAGACCTGGAGCTCCTCCCTGCCCCAGCCCGTGCCCTTGGCTTGACAAACACCAGCTTCTCCTTCCCAGGAGGGCTGTAGAGCCAGCCCTGCTAACGCAAGCAATTACTTTAATAGCATGAGGTATTAAATTGAAGACTGTCACAAACTGCTCCTGAGCGTGCAGATAAATAGGATGTTAACCCCAGAGCAAGCCAGAGCAGCTTCAGTGCACCGGGAGCCTCAGGAGAGGTTGGAGGCTTTGCCCCTTGTGCAGCTGATGGATAACTCTGGGCACAGGTTTTCCCCAGAGGCCAATTTTCCTTTTTGCTCTGTGCTCAGGTTGACATTGCCATCTTTTCTGCAGCACTGGTTAGCTAATCCCTTTCCTCTCGCCCTCTTTTCCCACCTCTTTGGCTTTGAGCACTGCAGTATTGACAGGACTGACTCTTTTGCCCAGGAGGTTTGGTTACCCCAAGCCTCGGGTCTGGCTGAGCCTCGCTCCTTGTGTCCTTGCTTCCCAGGTCACACGAGGAGGTGCGGGTTGAAGAGGAGCTTCAGCAGATCAGCGTAGAGCTGGAGCCCAAGTGTGATGTTGAGATCGTAGCTCCTGAAGAAGACGACAAAGAGTGAGTGCCCTGGAGCTTCCAGCAGCTGGGCAGGGCCCTGCCTGCTGCCTGCTGTCTGTGGCTGCTTCTGCCAGAGGCTGGTTTTGTTGGGGCATCGACTTCCCTGGAGAGCGAGGCTCTCACAGCTGTGAGACACTGCAGAGTGATGCTCCTTCTGCCCTGCCCTGATCTTTCTGGATGTTAGAGCAGATTATCCTCTGCACTAAATCACCAAGCCTTCCTTGCTCCTTCTTTTCTGCCCTCGCTGACTCGGTGCTGTCATTTCTTCCCCCCTCCAGGGAGGCGGCTTCTTCAGCCTGTGCCATTGGAACATCCACGGCTACAATAGAGGTGGAGACGGCCAGCCAGGCCTCCGAACCAGCCAGCCAGGCCTCGGATGAAGATGACGTGCCAGTCACAGACATATACTTTGTAAGATTCCCTTTCTGCCTGGCCCGTTAGGGGTGTGAGGGAAATGTTTGGACGAGGCTGTAACAATCTCTATTTTGGCAGTCGGGTGCACAGGGTGGAGTCTGCCCTCGTGTCGAGTGCCTTCAGATCTTAACACTGGACAGGTTTTGAACGCAGGGAACCAGCCTAGCCCTTGGAGAACAGAGAGCAGCATCTAGTGGGGCTCAAACAGGTGCTGCTGCTGCGGAGGTAGCCGTAGGTGTGCTGCTCTACTTCCAAGCAGGAGCACTGAAGGGCTTATCTAGGCCAGCGTGTTCACTCCTGGGACAAGCCAAGGTGAACGCAGGTGCAGCAGGGGCTCCCTCAGCTGGAGCTGCAACACAGACGTGTGCTGGAGCTGCCCAGAGCCGGAGCAGAGGCGGTTGCAGTGGGGCTGACCTCGGGCTCTGGTGACCTCTGGCTTTTCCTTTCCCCGCAGGCAGATGCAGTAGGTGGTGCAGTGGAAATCTAGTACTGAGACAGGGAGTAAGTGAGGTGGTTGCTGGTTGGCAGCAGAGTGCTGTGGAGCCCGGGGGCTGTGTTCCTCAGCCAGCTTCTGCAATGTCTGAGCAGCGTCTGCAGACTGGAGAGGAGATTTTAGCAACGCGTGCCTGCTTCGTGGATTCCCAGAGCAGAGCTGAGGGTCTGCCCCGTGGCAGCTCTCCCCCGTGTCCCGGCACTGGAATTTTTCTCATTAAAAAGGTGCCCTGCTCTGCCTCGTTGCTGTCCACAGCAGTGGAGACGAGCTGTGCCCTGTGAACTCCTTCAGACAAACCTAAAACGGGCAGCGTTTGGCTTTCCCTGGGCTTGCGTGACTCTGCTGCAGAGCTGCTCACTCATTGCCGAGTCATTTGGAGGCTCGTGGGAGCTGCAGAAGGAATCGGCTCCATTTTAAAAGCTTGTCTGTTTGGGTTTTTTCTGCATGCTGTTCAAAATGCAAACAGCTCCCTCTAACACTGGCTGCTCTTTCTTTGCCTGTGGATGGCAGCTGCGTGCAAGCTGCTTGCAGATACTGCCGGTTCCGCTGGCAAGTGTCTCCTAGCAGGGGGCAGCTCCCCTCCCTCCATGGCCGTGGGCACATGGGACTCCCCCCAGCTTCCCAGGGGTTCCTCCCTGTCGAGAAGAAACCATTTGTGTGCAGTGTGTGCTCCCGGAGAGCGTGACTGACCGCCCATCAGCATCCCATACCTCATCCGAGTCCTTGAGTTTTGCATTAAATGTGTGTCGTGTGCTGTGCAGCGTTTGTCACTGCTGGGATGAAGGGAAAAGCTGACCTGGGCTCCCACAGGCACTTTCCTTGGAAAACCACTCGAGCTGCAGCTCCGGGGAGGCAGCACCCGAGCGCAGCAGGGCTGAGCCCACAGCTGCTCCCACAGGGCTGCCCCAGGAGCGGTGTCGGGGGGTTGCGACGGACAGAGAACGATTTGTTGAGTCCCAGGGGACTGGGGTCTGTTCTTTGGAAATCTGCTGCTGAAAGGAGAGCGCTTTATCCTCCTGCTCACTCTCAGGGGAATAAAGGCGCAGAGACTGTCCCGGGCACGGGCACCGCTCTTCCCACGCACGGCTTCCCTGCCCGCTGATCCGTTCAGCCCTGGAGTTGCACAACCCCTTGTTCTCTTTTTTGTTGTTGTTTCTTTGTTTGTTGTTTTGCTTTGTTTGTTGGTGTTGTGGGTTTCTTTTGCTTTCTCTTTCATCCTGTCCTTCACATCATCTTTTTTTCCTCTGTTTCCTTTCTCACCTCACTTGCCCTGGGGCCATCCAGTTCACAGATGGGAGGTACTGGATTTACTCTCCCCGACAGCGCAGACTCCGAACCACCTCGCTTTCCTCTGGGACTGTAAGTGAACGTGCTAGCACACAGGGGAGCAGAGCTGCAGCTTTGAAACGCTGGGTCCAGCAGCTCCTTTTTCCCTGGATGCTGTAGCTCTGTCCTCTGTGGCTGCTAGGAACCAGCTCAGTAGAAACTGGGGAGGCAGATCAGAACTGCAGAAATGGATTTCTGTAGGATCTGACAGAAATGAAGGCTCTGCCCTGCTTTTCTGCAGGCCAAGGGCACGGCTCCTGGCATGGGATGGGCCACAGCATCACCCGGCCCTTGGACAAACCTGCAGGCACCAGATCTGTCTAGAAAGGTGAAGGCACCTGAGCATTTGTAGGTGACATTAGGCACAGCTCCCTTGGCTCAGGAAGCCAGACTGGGTTCCAAAGACCCTGTTGAGATGCTCTGGAGCTGCTGTTAAGCCAGTTTTGACCTCTTAGGCCTGTGGCCAGTCTTATTTCTGGTGGCTGGGAGGCTGAGCACTCGTAAAACCAAAGGAGTTTGAGTTACTGATGGATCAGGGATGGTTTCTGCTCTCAGCCCTTGCTGGCATCGCTCATGGGCTCCCTCCTCAAGCAGGTCTCTGTGAGCTGTGGGAGTTTCCCTTTCCCTTCCAGAAGGCGCAGCGAGGCAGTTCAGTGTTTAGGGCTTGCTCTGGGTTTTGGCATTCCCTTTCTCAGGGTGTGTGAGAGCTGCTGTCTTCCTCAGAGGGTAATGCCAGCACTGTCAGGGCCTCGGCACAAGCGTTTGCATAGCGTGGGTGGCGCAGCGCCTGCCGCCTTGGAGCCAGGCAGGGGAGCAGGCATCAGGCAGGGTGCACGGGGAGGCAGGGGCATGCTCCTGAGCTTGGCTGAGGGCACTGAGAAGTGCTGCACAGTGTGGGCAAACAGGCAGCCAGCTCCTCCCGGCAGCTTTTCCTGCCCCCACGCTGGGTTCGGCTGGCCCAGCACCAGCAGGGTTAATGCTGAGCGCCGGATGCTCCTACTTTTTATTTTTTTTATTTTTTTTTTATCTCCCCGCTGGGTTTGCAGCTCCCTGCATGCGTCTGGACTCCCAGAAGGCTCGGAAAGGGGCTGGCTGGAGCATGTGGTTGGGTCAGGATGGGTGAAAAACAGGATGTGGGGCAGACTTGGTGCAGCGTTGAACGTTGCTGCGCCTTCAGCAGAGCCCTGCAAAAAGCTCCAGGCAAGGTTTTCTCTTCCTTCCTTCCTCCCAGCGGTCTCTGCTCATGCAGCTGCGATTATTGATGGGGTCCAGCATGCGGAGCCCAGTGCTTCAAAGCTGCTCTAGCTTCTTGTAGTTCCTTGCACACCACAGACTGTTCCGCTTGGTTCCCAGGCCGGGACCCCCCCAGGCTTCTTTCAAGCACCCAGTTCCATTTCTCTTCCTCTGCAAGCCCAGGCTGGGCCATGGGGCCAGCTTCCACCCCCTGATATGGGGGCACCTCTGGAGCCAGCAGAGCCACTTTGCAGTGCAGGTGGGTCCCCCAGGAGTCACCAGCCCTTGAACCTGCCAGGATTTCTGTGCTGAGTCAGAAGCAGAAGCGTTTTGTCACACCAGAGCTGCGCTAACTGGCTCCCACCACACACGCCCCCTTCCCCCACATTATTCCCCAGATCCAGTTGTGTTTTGCCTCCTTTGTTGTGCCTGTTCTCATCACCTCTCTGCTGTCTCCAAGGCTCTCAGTGGGAACTAACTGGTTCCTTTCTGTGCCCACCACCCACCATGATCCAACCCGCCCGTCTGCTGCCTTGCTTGGCCTGCAGGGAAGGGGGAAGGCACAGCAAACCAGGTCAGGTTCCACTGTAAAAGCCCTCCTGGACACTCAAGATGCCAATTTGTAGCACGCCTGGGGCTCAGAAAATGGGGTTTGGGAGCTGAGAGTGGGTAGCAGGAACCAGGAGCTCTGCCCCTGCCCCTAGGTAAGTCGCTTGCCATGTCTCCTGGTTTCTCTGGGGTCAGGGTGATGCTGTGGCAGGGAGCTGAGGCTTCCCTGGCACTTCCAAAGCTCTCAGATCTGTCCCTGCGAGAGGAGAGGTTGTCCCATGTCCCAGAAGGCAGGGAGCAGGTAGGTACCGAGGCTGAGGAAGGCTCCTCTGCTGAGACCCAGCACCGAGCTCGGTTCTCTCCCTCCAGGCGGACAGCTGTTCTTACTGTATTGTTTCCTACTCTTTTATTTTCTCCTTTTATTTTTTCCTCTTCTCTCCTTTGCTCCCTGCTCTGCTGCTGCTCTCCTTGCATTCTCCCCGCCGTCTCTGGCCACTCTGGCAGCCGACAGACGAGAGGAGTTGGGTTTACTCCCCGCTCCACTATAGCGCTCAGCTCCACTCTGTCTCCGATGAGGAGAGCGATACAGTAAGTGTACAAGAAGCACGTGCTGGGTGCCCGGTGGGTCAAGGTCGGACCTTGCGCTCCCTCTGCAAGCTGGCCTTGCCGGGGGAGCTGCTGTGGCCTCTGTGCAGCATGGGGCTCTTGCATGGCCGCGGCGGAGCCCTGCCGCAGCTCGGCTCAGCTCTGGCAGCAGGTGAGGGCTGCTGCGCTGGCAGAGACCCCTTCGGCTCGGCAGGGGTTGAGTGCAGTGAAAGCTCGGGGGTCTGAAGTTCTCCAGACGTGGTGTTGTTACTGGGATGCAAAAGAAGCAAGCTGCCCTCTTGGTGCTCGTTGTGGCTCTGGGGGTTTGGCTGGGCTCAGACCAGATGCAGGGCGGATGCAGGGGTGTTGATTCTCTTTTCTCTGCCTCTTGCAGTAATCTCTATGCAGACACAGAAGCCCCAGAGAGCAGCGATTCCCTCTGCAGGTCGATGTGTTCCCTTTTCGTTGATGCAGCCGTTCCAGTGGGATGGGGAAGAGCTTGCCGACACCAGTATTGCTGCACTGCAGGATCCCGGGCACTGCATTTCAGAAAGGAGCAAAACTATAACCGTCTATTTCTACTTCTCCCAGATGTGGGCAGCAAAGAAACCACCCACTCACCCGCAGCTCCCAACGGAGACATCCAGCTGGGTGTAGAGAATCCTGGGTAGTAACACAGTGTTTTCCAGATGTGCACTACCGTAGCTACCTATCCATGTGTAATACTGTGAACCTTTTTAATTTTTTAATCATGTATTTATTTCTTTTATCTTTGCACAGACAGCACAAATGTGCTTTTTTAAACATTTAGTTTACTGCACTTTTTTTTTTTTTTTTTTTTTTGGGTTGTCATATATTTGTGCATCAGAAAGGAGGGTGAGACCTCACTGGAGAATTAATTGGTAGGAGCACGTTGCTGGGGAGGGCAGGGACCGGAGTGGTCTTCCCTTGAGGCAGCAGCGTGGTCTGACCAACTGATGGAGTCGGGAGGTGTGAGGCTGTCCAGGCTCTGCCACGGTTTTGCCGAGTGACCTAAGGCAAGTCACTTAACCACTCTGTGCCTCGGTTCCCCTGTGCTGATGGGTGTGCAGCTCCCACTTCCGTTAAAGCACTTAAAGCCTGGGATGAAAGGTGCTATGTAAATGCCATGTATTAAAGGCCATCGAGTAGAATTGCTCCCACGTTACAGTAGTCCAAAGTAGCCATGCCAATTCACTCGGATTCAAAAATCGCTAGTGACTTCTCTAGATCTGTGACACTGTGCGGGGGAAGCAAGCGATTCCTGGCAACGCTGACGTGGTCACCTCGGCTCTCTGGACGTCGCAATGGCTTCAGCCTTCACCTTCACGCTGCTGTCACCCCGTCCCTCTGTGCTTGGGAGCCCACGCTTCGTCCCGCCGGCCGCGCCAGGCATGGACAGATGAGGACTGGGCACCTCCTCCAGGGACCGTCCCCGCTCTGCCAGCCCCGGCGTGGCTCGCCCGGACCCCGCATCCCACTGGAGCCACTTCGCACCTCGCATGCTCACGGGTGTATCCGACCGCCAGTGACTCGGGGGTCGCGGACACTGGGTTCACACGTATCCTCCGTACCTCAGGGCAGTCAGGGAGCTGCGTGCACGTCCGCGCCTGCTGGAGGCAGAAACCAAGCACCTGGCTCCAGCACCCGGGTGCGCCGGGCGGCGTTGTGTGCACGGACTCTGTTGGACACACAGCTGGGTGACTCGGACGTTGCCTGTGGCAATGTCTGCTGTTGGAAATGGCTGCTTCGGATGTCTGAGACACGGATAGTTTGCTCTTTGAGGGCTGCACGCTGTAGCCAAGACAAGATTTGGTGTCACTTGGCAGTGCTCGGTTTAGGCTCGTCCTCCTGTCAGCAGGACACCGTAGCATCTTGAACTCCAGCAGTCCCATCCTCTCCCAGAGAGAAGAAATGGAACCCTTTAGACAAGGAGGAGACAGGTCTTGTTTGTGTGCTTCACATGCCAAGAGAGGGGGTCAAAATCTCTTTATTCTCATCACAATCTTCAGCTGTCCTTGGGATTCCTTGTAGAGGGGTGTAGAAGAGGAACCCTCCTTCTGGGGCTCTGTCCCTTTCCATCTGTCTTCGCAGCAGCACTCAGGACTGGGTAATTCAGGTCCCAGAAGGGAACCAGGCTGGTGGGAAGCTCTTCCCCTCTGCGAGGCGATGAAGTTGGCGAGGATCTTTGTGAATTGACATTGTTTCTTGCCTAGAAGTACGGGACCCAAACTTCACCCCATGCCTGCAGATGCTGAAGGCTGTACAGGGTGCTGCTCTCGGAGTGCAGGCTGGGGGTCTTGCAAGCTGCTGCCGTTAGATGTATCCATGTATTTACCAAATAATCTATCAAAAGTCTTTCAAGACATTCTCCCCTTTCAGTCGCTACTTGACAGCTTGTTCATCCAGCTCGTGGCATCGCTCCATGACAGCCCCTTCAGTAGGCTGGGGAACAGCTCCCAACCCACCCCGTGTCCCTGTGCCAGCCCGGGGGGGTGCTGCAGGCTGCGTGTTCGGCGCTGCGGGGGGCTCAGTAGTTGGGCAGAGGGGAGCCGGGAGTAGTGCAATACCTACAGACTAACGTGCCTCTGGGCTGAAAGCGTGAGGCTGCAAAATGCTGGAAATTCAGCCTTTGTTTCCTCCAGAAGCCCGATGCTGCACTTGGAGAGGCCGGAGGTTCCCGTGTCCCTTCTGCATCTTCAGGTGTCGCTCTCGGGCGCTGCACTGGGGAACTCAGCCCCGGGAGGGAGCCGGGAGGCTGGGCTCAGCCGAGCCCCAGCTCCACGGGCACCTCCTAGGGTTAGCTGCAGCAGGCCTTGCCCACCAACAAAAATCAAGCATCTTGGTAAAGATGGTTCAGGCATCACTGAAATCAGGACTTCTTTCCTTCCCTGCATTTCAGGGGTCTCTAAAGCTGCTTTGCCTCTGTGCAGGAAGCGTCTGAGCCCAACCTTCATAGAGTATCCCAGTGAATGAACTTTGCAGGCTCAAGCTAGCTTGGTCCCGGAGGATATGGGGAAGCCCAAATCTCCTTTTGCAGCACGTTCATTCCAGCTGTTGTCGTTCTTCAGGTGTCCAGGCTTTTTGAGACAATCCTTCTGTGTGCAATCCTACAATGCTGAACCCTTTGGAGCGAGCAGGTCTGTAAAAGATGAGAGCAAAGGGATGGGAGCAACTTTGTCAATGTGAGTGGGGAAAAAGGAGCCTTCTTTTAGGGAGATGCTGATCCCAAATGGAAACTACTCCTTGCCAGGCCCATGCACACTTCTTGCTGTCATCTCCTGCCCAAGTGTCTGTGCTGGAGAGCAGCTGAGCCTTGACAAGGCTACAGGACGCTGGGGTTCAATGCTTGCTCCTTACCCACCTCTCTGTGCTATTCCTGCCCACTGCAGTGGGGGAGCACTGGGGGGCACTTCCCATGCCTTGTCAGTGCTGCCTTTGCAGGGCAGAGTCGGAGGAAGGGAAGGACTGGGTCTTGCCCTTGGGGAAGATCCTCAGCCCTTCTTTGGGGAGGAGAGCCCTTGCCCCTCCTTGGCCTGAGCATCTCAGCTGTGCCCAGCTCACCTGCGGAGCGGGTCTTGTGTGTTTTTGCTAGGGCTTTCTCTAGTGCCCCAGAAGATCGCTGCCTCGTGCTGTCACCAGCATACCCCTACATCTCGAAAAAGGCACCGCATCTCCTGCTGCTCCACGGGCGCAGGACTCGAGGGCTCCAGGGCTGTTTCTGCTTTCAGCCATCACCGCCTCCTCGGTGCCTGGGGTCGCACGTTGGCTCCGGGCACGGGGCTGGCACTGTTGTGGCAGGGCCTGGGTCACCCTCGGTGCCCGCTGGGCTCCCGAAATGTGCCGTGGCCCTGCCCAGCACCCTCTGCTCCCCGCTCAGCGTCACCTCCAGCTCTGGCCCAGCCGGACACAAGCCGCGGCCCCCAGGCCCTGGCTCGTGTCTGATTTTCTCCCTGTTGCTGTCTCCATCAGCCCCGGGTCTCCTCTATCGGATGCTCGTGCTCCCGCTCATTTCCCACGTCCGCTCCGTGCGTGCACCGTGTAATGAATGTATGTAATTAGGGGGGGCCGAAATGGGATGCCGACCGGGGGTGTTGTCATGGCTCTCTTCTTTATTATTTTTTTTGGGGGGGGAGAAAGGTTACGTCATGAGCGCTTTTTTCTTTTCCTCGTTCTGTTGGTTTTTTTTTGTTGTTGGTTTTTTTTTTTTTTTTTTTCCGTTTCCTCCTCGCGGGGAGCCCTTTTCCAGAGAACTGTAAGTTGATGCTTTCTGTCCTCGGCTCTGTGATAAAGCGTTTCTGTGTGTGCTGTGCACAGCTCTGCCTCGTCTCAGCGCCCTCACTGCCGCGCCCCGCCCCGCGAGGGCATTTTGGGGGAAAAAAAGCGAGAAAAAAAAAAAAAGAGGGGGGAGGGAAATAAATAAATAAACAGGTAAATAAATAAATAAATAAATGAAACACCGATCGCGGGCCCGCCCCTCCCGTGGGCCGGGCCTGGCACCGAGGCCTCGCGGCTGGAGCTGCCCGGGGCCGCCTGCGCCCAGCCGGGAGCGGGGCCGATGGGCTCCGGGTCGCGCAGCCCCGGCCGGCGGCGTCGGGACCGGGACCGGGACCGGGATCGGGATCGGGACCGGGACCGGGAGCGCTCCGGGAGCGGGGAGAGGCGGAGGCGCCGCAGCCGGAGCCGGAGCGGGGGGCGCCGCCACCGGGAGCAGAGCTCGGGGTGAGCGGGGGGGAACCGGGCCCAGGGCGGCCGGGCCTTGCTGGGGGAGGGCCGGGACGTGTCGGGGACCGGGACCGGGGCCGGGCCGTGCGGGAGGAAACGGGGCCTGCTGGGGGAACCAGGCCCGGGCCTTGCGCCGGGGACTGGGCCCGGTGCGGCCTTGTCCCGGGGCAGGCGGGGAGCGGGGCCTGGCTGCGGCCGGGCCCGGGGGGAGCCCGGCTCGGTGCGGCCGGGACTCGGGGCTGTTACCGCGGCCCCCAGCGGCCTCCCACCGGACACAGCCAGCTCAGGGGCTCAGCCGGGCCTAGGAGGCCACAGGGGAGGCCCCAGGGGGGTGGCAGGAGCCACCGGGCGCCCACCTGGCCCCGGAGCCCCCCGGGGAGGGCACGGAGCCTTCGTGGGAGCGTGGTGCGGGGGGCGAGTACCGGGCTCCGAGCCTGTTTGGGTTTTCTCGGCCCCGCTGTTGGCTCGGGACAGGCCGTGCCCTGCCCGTGGTGGGGCAGCACGCTCCCCTCCTGGGGCACTGCGTCCGCACCGAGCCTGCGATCGTCAACTGAAATGTGGCTTCCCCCCTCCCGCAGCTCGGACTCTGAGGATGAGAGGCACAAATGGAAGAAGAAAAGCAAAAGCAGGGACCAGCACCATAAAAGCCAGAAGAAACACCGCTCACGCTCCCGGGGTCGCTCCTCCAGCTCGGGCTCTGAGCGAGAGCGAGACAAGAGGCGAGCCCGGAGCAGAGAGAGGCGGAGGAGAAGAGATGGCTCCAAGTCCTCCGTGTCCTCAGTCAGCTCTCCCTCCCCACCGCGTTCCCGCGGCCGGGAGGAGTCGGGGCAGCAGCTGAGCCTTCAGGAGCGCTTGAGGATGAAGGAGGAGAAGAAGAAGCAGGCTGCGCTCATGAAGGCCTTGGAGACCCCTGAGGAGAAACGGGCTCGACGGCTGGCTAAGAAGGAGGCCAAGGAGAGGAAAAAGCGGGAGAAGATGGGGTGGGGAGAGGAGTACATGGGTTACACCAACACCGACAATCCCTTTGGGGACAACAACCTGCTGGGAACTTTCATCTGGAGCAAGGTGAGCGCCCAGTCCACACCTCTGTGTCACAAGAGGCTGCTCTGAACGTTGGCTCACAGGAGGTTGTGTTCCTGTGGCTGCCGTGGGGGGTCCACAGAGCAGTGGGGTGTCAGGAGGGACTTTGCTTGAGGTGGGAACCTCTGAAACACTACAGGGAGCCACATGAGTGCAGTGCTGTCATCTAGGGCAGCAGCTGGGTGTTCCTGAAAAGCTCTGCAGGGCTTCACGTCTGTTATTGTGAAGACCAATGTTTGTAGTCAGGGCTGTGGGATGAGGAGATGGGTCAGGGTACAGGAGAGGCTGCCTGGGAGCTGAGAGCTGGGGAGTGTTCCCTGCTTGTGTTGCTGCTCACCAGGTGGGGTGGACATCCTGGGTGAGCCTGGGTTTTGCTGAGAAGCTGCAGAAGTAGGATTTGAGGGAGTCGGGGGTCTTGACAGGATGAGAGCCCATTAGAGCAGCAGAAATGGGTGGATGTGGTGTTTGTTGCCAGTTGAGAGGCTGTAGAGGCTGCTTCGTTTCATGGCCCCTCTTGGCCACTCTGTTTCAGGCGCTGGAGAAAAAGGGGATCAGCCACCTGGACGAGAAGGACCTGAAGGAGAGGAACAAACGAATCCAGGAGGACAACCGTCTGGAGCTGCAGAAGGTGGGAGCAGAAACCCCCTCACAGGTCCCCATGGACAGCCCAGTTCTCCCAGCTGCTCCCGGCACATCCTGAAAGTTCCCTTGATCTCTCTGGGGGAGCCCATGGCTATAAGACGTGGGTGCCACGCTGTGCTGACTTCTGTTCGGGGGTGAGATTTTCTCCTTGGGGCTGAATCCAGCTCAGGAGGCGCTGGTGAAGACAAATGCCAGGTCACTGCAGTGCAGCACGGTCGTGCCCATGTCCCCTGTCCTCCGAAGGTTTGGCAGGGAGCAGTGGGCAGCTGGCTCTGGTTCTGGCTCTCCTGGCACAGAGCTCCTGGCTCTCCGGGATGATTGTGGGGGCTGAGGCAGCTCAGTGAGTGTGGTTACAGTGGTGTCCTGTAGGGTGCTGGCAGCCTCATGTCTTGCTCTGTCCCTGAGCAGGTGAAGCAGCTGCGCCTGGAGCGAGAGAGGGAGAAGGCGATGCGTGAGCAGGAGCTGGAGATGCTGCAGCGGGAGAAGGAGGCGGAACACTTCAAAACCTGGGAGGAGCAGGAGGACAACTTCCACCTGCAGCAGGCCAAGCTGCGGTGGGTGGGCAGCTTCGTGGGGTCAGGCTGGTGGGGAGCAGAGGTCGGCAGGCACCGCTCACTGTGCCTCTCCTCTCACCCAGGTCTAAGATCCGGATTCGGGATGGGAGGGCGAAACCCATCGACCTCCTGGCCAAGTACATCAGTGCGGAGGATGACGATCTGGCTGTGGAAATGCACGAGCCCTACACCTTCCTGAACGGCCTGACCGTCTCCGACATGGAGGATCTGGTGGAGGACATTCAGGTACCTCTCTGTGGCCTCTGCGCCCTGCCTGTGGCTGAGTTCAGGCCGTGACACGGAGCGGGTCCCTGATGTCTCCTGTCCCCTGCCTGCAGGTTTACATGGAGCTGGAGCAGGGCAAGAACGTGGACTTCTGGAGGGACATGACCATCATCACGGAGGATGAAATAGCCAAACTCCGCAAGCTGGAGGCCTCTGGGAAAGGAGGCCCAGGTAAGCAGGAGGCCAAGAGCCTGGCGTGGGTGTTGGGGGGAGTGAGAACAGTGGGTAATGAACGGCGCGGGGTCTGCCGCAGGCTCTCAGGCTTGCAGAGGCTCTCGAATTGCTGCTGGAGGATGTGATGGATGGAGGCTGTGGATGTGGCAGCCGTCCCCTGCCGGGCTCCAGCTGTTCGGTGAAGCCCAGGAGCGCCTGAGAGCCTGAACACTCAGAGGCTGACCGGTCGCCCTTGCCTGCCTGTGCAGGGGAGCGGCGGGACGGCGTCAACGCCTCCGTCAGCTCGGACGTGCAGTCCGTGTTCAAGGGGAAGACCTACAACCAGCTGCAGGTGCTGTACCAGGGCATCGAGAGCAAGATCCGGGCAGGAGGGCCCAACCTTGACATCGGATACTGGGAGAGCCTGCTGCAGCAGCTGAAGGCCTACATGGCTCGGGCCAGGTGAGAGCGGGGACGGTGCCGGGTCAAAGCTGTGGAAGGGGACAGCGCAGAGCTGCCATGAGCAGAGCTGGGGAGGCCCAAACCCACGGTCACGGTGTGGGGATATTATGCCTTTTCCAAGCTGTTGCTTCTTCCAAGTGGGAAGAAGGGCTGGACAATCAGTCCCTTCTCAAAAGGCGATATTTAAGGTGAGATCCTCGGGGGGAAGCTGACTGGAGGGTTATTCAGCCCAGAACTGTAAAAAAAACAAATTTCAGGCCGGAGTGGTGTGTGTCCCAGCCATGGGCATGCAGGGTGTGACCTGATGGCTCGTCTCCCCCTCGCAGGCTGCGGGAGCGGCACCAGGACGTGCTGCGGCAGAAGCTGTACAAGCTGAAGCAGGAGCAGGGCGTGGAGAGCGAGCCGCTCTTCCCCATCATCAAGCGGGAGCCGGTCTCCCCCAGCGACAGGTATGCAGCCCCCTCCTTGGGGAGCACAGCCCTCAGCCTCCCCCTCAGGCACCCAGGACAGAAGGTGCAGCCTCGTGCTCCCATCTGTCCGCAGACAAACCTCAGGGAGCCAAAGGCACCGTCTCCATCCCCCGTTGTCTTCCCTGCAGGCTGGACCCGGAGGAGAGCCTTGTGGTACAGCCGGGGCCATCCTCAGAGCCAGAGGCTGAGCAGGATGCAGAGGTCAAAGGAGAGGCAGAGGGAGAAGCTGTGCTGATGGAGGAGGACCTGATCCAGCAGAGCCTGGACGACTACGACGCGGGGAAGTACAGCCCCCGGCTGCTGGGCCCCAACGAGCTGCCCTTCGACGCGCACGTGCTGGAGGCCGAGGAGGACATGCACCGCCTGCTGCTGCTGCGCCAGCAGCTCCAGGTCACAGGTAGGAGCCCCGATGGCCTCGTGGCCTGGCCTGGCATGGGGGGCACACGCGTGCCCTGGGGTGCAGGGCTGGAGGGGGGGGATGCTCCTCTTGGAAAGGGATAAATGCTGGGGCTGGAGCACGCACCCAGAGCTGGCCTCGCAGAGGGATCCACCGGGTACTGAAGGGGGACGCAGCCCGGACTGCTGGCGTTCCCTGTGGGTGCCCGAGTCAGCTCCCTCCCTCTCCCCAACACACCACTCAAGCTGCAGACAAGTGGTGAGGGTATTTTGGATGAGTTTCCCAGCACCCACCAGGTCTCCATGTCCAGCACATCCCCAGCCCGGCCCCTTCCCTGCGCGCACCCCGGGCCCGCTCGGCGCTGCGGGGCCAGCCCTCACCTCTCCTCCCTGCAGGCGATGCCACCGAGAGCACCGACGACATCTTCTTCAGGAAGGCCAAGGAGGGCATGGGCGCGGACGAGGCGCAGTTCAGCGTGGAAATGCCCCTCACGGGCAAGGCTTACCTCTGGGCTGACAAGTACCGGCCCCGCAAGCCTCGCTTCTTCAACCGGGTGCACACGGGCTTCGAGTGGAACAAGTACAACCAGACCCACTATGACTTCGACAACCCCCCGCCCAAGATCGTGCAGGGCTACAAGTTCAACATCTTCTACCCCGACCTCATCGACAAGCGCTCTACGCCCGAATACTTCCTGGAGGCCTGCCAGGACAACAAGGACTTTGCCATCCTGCGCTTCCACGCCGGGCCGCCCTACGAGGACATCGCCTTCAAGATCGTCAACCGGGAGTGGGAATATTCCCACCGCCACGGCTTCCGCTGCCAGTTTGCCAACGGCATCTTCCAGCTCTGGTTCCACTTCAAGCGCTACCGTTACCGCAGATGAGGGGCTGCTCTCCCCACCAGCACAGAGGGTGGGCAGGGGGCTTGTCCCCTTGTCCCACATGCGCTGTCCCATGGACCTGCCCGATGCTTGGCCCAGCGCTGCCTCTTGACCATTTTCCTCATGCCTTTTATCCCGAGGGACCCTGAGACTTTGACACAAATAAATTGGGGTTGTTTAAGCCGTGGCCTCCCTTGCCTGAGCACCCCATGCCCCTCTGTCCCCTGGGGCTGTGCTGTACGCTGCCAGCAGCCAGTATCCTACTGGGCCAGCACTGGGAGCTCCCCTGGGGCTGTGCAGTGGTGGGGGCTGTCTGTGCCCCTAGCCCCAGATGCTCTCCACCCTGTGGGTTCCCATCGCCTCTTCCAGCCCCATGCCCTTCCCTTGCTCGTGCCAGACCTGTCCAGCCGTGACGTTCCCCAGCTGGAGCCGCGGTGCCCTTTGCTCTGTGAGCACAGCCCCTTGCCCACGGTCCCACCGCTGCCGAATTCCCTCGGCCCTGCGCCGCCCCCACAGGCCCCGTTTCTGGCCGTCCCCCGCCTGGCATCCTGCTGCCCCAGCCCGGGAGCACCGCCACCTCCCTCGACCCTGGCTGCAGGATGAAAGGGTTTGGTGGCCACAAGGCGTCAGCCTCCGGCGGGGAGGAGGAGCGGGGTGTGAGATGTGACCAGGACATCTCCTTACAGGGGAAAATCTGGTTTCTGTGGCACACGGTCCCTCCCCTTGTCCCTGAGTGGTGCTTACTGCCCCGGGCAGACGCACTCCCTGGTACCCCAGGGCTGAGATGGGGCTCCCGGGGCCTTCATGGGGACCAGGCGGGGGCTTCTTGGCCTTGGGTTTTGCCTCGCAGCTGGCGATTCCCCCCATAGCTCACCCCAACCTGCTTCTCTTGGCACTGCTGGCAGGATCCGGCCCTGTGGGAACTCATTTTCAGGAGTGTCCCACAGGCACCAGGCATGCCAGGAGCCCAGCCTGCCCCTGGGACTGGGGGGGGACGGACCCCGACCACCTCAGCCCCGCGTGTCCCCAGCCTGCCGGATATCCCCCGTCCGGCGGCAGCGCCGGGACGTGTCCCCACGGCCTCTCCTTCCTGTGCGTTATTTAAAGCCGTGGAGCGGCTGCTTGGCGGGGGGGTGTTGAGATCCTGAGGTCAGCACAGGAAGCGTGTGAAGGCCGGGACAGATGGGTTCAGAGCAGAAAGGAGAAAAAAAAAAAAGTAGGAAAAAAAAGAAGCAAAACCAGCGGTTAGGTGGCCTCTGTGCTTAACCGCCTGGCACAGCCCCTGCGCTCTCCGTCACGGACACAGACACGGGGGGGACACAGACACGGGGGGGCCGTTCTCAGGTCTCCTGCTGCCACTGGATGTCCCCTGAGGTGACACGGAGTCCTGACAGCCCCGTGCTGGTCCTGGAGCCATCTGGGAGCCTGGGGGGAGCGGGACGGGGCTGGTGCCTGAGTGAGCATTGGGGTAGGGGGAAAAGCTCCGTCCTGCTCCGGCTGCCCCCGAATTGTCACCGCGTCCCCTCCTGGGCACTGCCGGAGCCACCGCAGCCCCTCCAGGGGCCGGGTCCAGCTGACCCCCAGGGCTTTTCGCAGCCCTGGCAGTTCTCAGCTCTCCTGTATTTGAGGAGAGCTGACCACCCGCCTCTGCCTCGTCGTGTGCCGCGGTGAAGCCCCATATTGGCTCTGTGGGGCCCAAACTCTTTCCTCTCCCAAAACCAGCAGCAGGGGGTGGCTGCAGCACCCGGAGGCTCCCTGCCCGCCGCACCCCCTGCCCACATCCTCTGCGCCCCGCACGGGCTGTGGGGGTCACACCTCGTGGCTCTGGGGCTGTGACAGCACCGTGGGCACGAGGGACGCTCCCGTGTCACTCGCTGGCGTTGGCGCAGGACGGAGACACCGCTGCGAGGAGCTCCCCGCTGGCACACGGGGGCTGGGTGGGCACAGGGGGACAGCGGAGGGGGTCGCATCCCCTCGTGCCACAACACGGCCTCAGGTTTGGGACAGCGTGGGGACACTGCGCCCAGACAAACCCCCGGGATGTGGGGACACCCTGGTGGCTGGGCTGATGTGGGACACGCAGGGGACACCCAAAAACCCGTCCCCTCCCCATCCATCCCGCAGCCTCCCCATTCCCCGGGGGTGGCACCGGTGGTCCCACGGCGGTGGCAGCTCGGGGGGGCCGTGCAGTGGGGACAGGCGAGGCCGTGGCCACGTCCACGCGTGTCCGTGTCCCACGCGTGGGGGCCGGGCCGGGCTCAGCCCCCGCTGACTCAGCACCGGGGATGCTGCGGGGGGCGCAGCGGGGGCGGCCCCGGGGCAGGGCCGGGGGGAGCGGGGTTGGGGGGCTCGGGGACACGCGTGGGTGCTTGGAGGTGGGGGGGGCGGTGGTGCCGGGTCCGGCCCCGTTCGGGGCTCGGAGGGGGGGGGGGGGGGGGGGGGCTCGGGCCGGGGCGGGGCAGGGGGAGGGGAAGGGGCAGGAGGAGGGGGGGGGGGCTCCAAGCCCGGCCCTTCCCCCGCGGGGCCGTGCTGAGCCGAGCGGGGCTGAACCGAGCCGGGCTGAGCTGAGCTGAACCGAGCCGAGCCCCCCCCGCCAGCCCCCGCGCATCGCCAAGAGGTAGGGCCCGGGGGCGCTGGGGGGGCCGGGCTGGGGGCGTCCAACCCCCCTCTGCCTGCCCCGGGAGCGGCCCCGAGGCTGGGGGGGGGGCGGAAAGGGGCCGTGGAGGGGTCGCGGGGGTGCGGGACGGAGGGGGGGGGTCGGATAAAGAGAGCACACGGAGGGGGTGGGCGGAGGGGCCGGGGGGGGGCAGAGCGGGGGGGCTTCAGCCGAGGGGCTGGGACGGACGGACGGGGGGGCGGGGGTGGGTGATGGAGGGGCTGAGGTGGCTGCACAGACCGGGGACAGACCGGGGGGGCTGCACGGGGCGGATCAGGGCTGCCCTACACACAGCGGGGCTGGATGTGCCGGGGGGGGAGCGGTGCCCCCACCCCCCTCACGGCACCGCCTGGGAAGACCCCGCGAGGGGCCGGGCAGCGCTGCCTCCTGCCACCCCCCCCCCCGCTGCCACCGCGGAGTTTGTCACCGGGTGGAGGTGCTGAGGGACGGGACGGGGCAGGGGGGGGACTTTGACACCCCTGTGATGCTGGGGGGGGCTCCCTGCACCATGCAGCCCCCAGCTCGTGCTCCCGAGGGTGGCCGGGGAGCTGCCACCCCCCGCCCTGCTCCCAGGGACAGGTTGGGAGCGAGATGGGACGGGGACCGTGCTCAGCATCCCCAGGGGACAGTGACAAAACCCCGGCAGCCCTGGGTCCGAGCAGGTTGGGGACCTGCAGCTGGGGACCTCTGCTGTGGGATGGGACAGGGACAGGGACAGGGACAGGACAGGGACAGGTGCCCAGCTGGGGCTGCCGCCGGTTGTGCCCCTGCTCCCCGTGGCCGTCCCCTTCCCGGACAGCCCCCGGGGAAGTCCCCGCTCCAGGCGCCCCCAGCAGCAGGTCGCTTTGATGGCTGTGGGTCCAGGGAGGGCCCCTGGAGCCCCGCCAGGTCCCCGTCCCCATGACGTGGCCGATGCATTTCCCGTCTCGGCCGATGTCCTTGAGCCGATCTGCCCAGAGAGCAGCGGCCCGGGGGCAGCTGCCTGGGGGTCACGTCCAGCCCTGGCAGGGACGGCCGAGCCCAACCGTGTCCCGTGGGACCACCTGCGGGGGACATCGGGCTGGGGACAGTTTGGGCCATCCCTGGAGGGGTCCAGCCAGCAGGGAGGGATGGGACACACACGGGACAAAGGCAAACACCCGCAGCAGGGACCCTGCAGCTCCCAGCACCGCACCCAGCGGGGCAGAGCCCAGGGGTCGCAGTGCTCCCCCTCACCTCCTGCCCCCCACCATGATCCCATCCCAGCCCCCTGCTCCCATCTGCTGGGCCCTGCTTTGGGAACTCGCTGCTTTGTGTGCCCGCAGGATGCCCCCTGCCCTGCCCGCCCCATTCCCAACCCTGCCCAGCACCCATGGGAGCGGTGAGCTGGGGCAGGACCCGGGCAGCAGCGGGACCCCTCTGCGTCCCCCCGTGCTGTCGGTGACGCCTTTTCCTCACTGCCCTCAGAAGTGGCGAGGGCAGGAAGCGGCGCATCCCTGGCGAAACGCCGGCCCAGGGGCTCCCACGGCGCCAGAAACCCCATTAGTGCCCGCGCCAGGGCTGCCAGCGCAGCCTGCAGCAGCCCATTTAGGAGCCGGCTCCTCTCCTCCGGGATTTTGTCCCAGGATCTCCCCGCTGGGGCTCCTGCTGGCTCCAGCACCCCCTAAAGCGGGGCCGGGGCGCGGACTCAGGGTGTCTCCTCCACAGGCGCCTCCTCGTGCGACGGCCGCCCCGGATGGGGGGAGATGGCAAGTGAGGAGCCTCTGCCCCGCTCGTGAGTCCCTTCCCGTAAGTGCCTCTGCTTCGCTCTGCAGAGCAGCCGGGGCTGCTGGGGTTCGGCTCGGTGACAGCCCTGCTAGCTCTAAATGGGCGCTCTTTAATATTTGATTCCCTCTAAGTGCTGCCCGGCCCCGTGCGGGGTGGCACCGGCTGCTGGGGCTGGCATTGCTGCCGCCCCGTGGTGGAGGCTGCCGCAGGATGGGGTCGGGTCCTGGCACTTTTCCGGGGTCAGATCTGGTGGTATTGGGGTTGTGGCCGGCCACAGGGCGTGGTGGGCTCGCATCCTTCCACTTGGGGTGGGTTCGGATCCTGCTGTGCTGCCAGGGCTGGGCGCTCTCGTTAGCGGGAGGGACAGCAGCGGGGACACGGCCAAGGGCTCCCCCCGAGCCCTCCCTGCAGGCAGCGATGGGGAAACTGAGGCACGGCTCAGGGGGGAGCTGCTGGGCTCTGGCAGTGCCGAGGCTGCGTGGGGCCAGGGCAGGTGTTTTGGCACAGCAGCCGGCAGCACCGTGGGGCCAGGATGAGTTCACCGGGGCCAGGAGCGTGGGACACGGCCCCATCCCACCGGGGCCTGACATCAGTCCCAAGGGGACCAACACCTTTGGGGCTACTGCTGCGGTCCCTCCGGGCCAGGAGCAAACAAACAGCGGCAAGTTTTCACTCTTGTCTCATGGAAAAAGCTGGGGCCGTCCTCACCCTTCAGCAGTGAGTCACCGCCATGCGCTGCCAGCAGCCCCACATGGCGACGGGGACGGGGTCGGGGATGGGGACAGGGTCACGACACCGCCACCACCCCAGCGTCCTCCCCAGGGGACGGCAGCGGAGCCGGTGGTGGTGCTGCCGTGCCGTGCCGGTGCCACTCGGCACCCCCAGCCCCACCGCCCGCCCCACGCCGCGTGTTGCAATCCCTGGCCCCATCCCAGCCCCGGGATCAGTGCGGCGCAGCCGGGCCTTGCCTCCGAGGGCCAAGAAGGGGGCGGCGGGTCGGGGCGCCGAGCGGCTGACGTGGAGCCGGGCTCCCTGGGCAGGCGGGTGCCGGAGCTGCCGCCGCTGGTTGGGATCAGCTTGAGGTTAGAGCCGGGGATGGGGCAGGTGGCGGTGGCACCGTGCACGAGGGGGTGACGGGATCGCAGCCATGGGGGCAGCTCCATGGCCTCAGCAGTGCCCTGGTCCCGAGGGGCGGCCGGGCAGGGGGAGGTGGTGCCGGGCGGCCTGGGGACGGGGCAGGCGGGTGGCAGGGACATCCCTGTCCTGAGGAATGGGCTCAGTCCCCACATCCCTCCGGCTGGGGTCAGGTCCAGCTGTGTCTCTGCTTTCTCTGGAAGCGGCTCCACCCTGTCCCGGATCACCCCTTGCAAACAGGCTGCGCTAATTAGCGATGGTGAGAGCTGCCAGATGCTCCCCGGACAGAGGCCAGAGCCCAGCAGGCCCCCGGGGCAGCGCACCCTCCCCTGTCCCCCTGCCACCACCGGGCCAACAGCTCCGGCAGACAGGACAGGGGAACACGAGACCTGGCTGCATCCCCCACACCTGCGGGTGGATGTGCTGGGGTCAGGGGGACACCCAGGGTCGTGGGGTGACCCCCCTGTGGGTGCCGCGTGCGCCGCGTGTCCCCGGGCGCAAAGGTCCCATCTGCGGTTGAGCGAGCGCCACGGGGGCAGGCGGCCACGGGCGCAGGGAGGGGGGAGAAGCTTTTAAACTAATCCTGCTCCAGCCCCACGGCGGGCGTGGAGGATGCGGCCGCATCCCTGATCCCGGCTCGGCACGCGGAGCTGGCCCCGTGCCCGGCACACAGCTGGGGTGCAGCAGGGAGGGCGCCCGCCTGGGTGCTGCGGGGCTGGGGACCCCTGGGGACGGATACGGTGACCATGACCACGCTCAGCCTGGGAGCACCGGAGGGTGCACAGAGCCCCCGCCTCATGAGTGCCTCAGTTTCCCCACCCCGCTGCAGGAACATGAGGCTGGGGCAGGGGTTTTGCAAGGTTCCTGGTGGTGCTGAGCGCTGGCAGCGCCCCTGCCCATAGTCAGGATCTGTCCCAGGCACAGCCACCCAGCCCTGTGCCCATGGTGGCTCTGGGGGGGGTCTGGCTGGGACACCCCAGCACGGGACGGAGCCGTCAGGGAGCCCAGCTGGCAGCAGCACGCGTCTCCAAACAACGAGCACGAGGGGATTATAGGGCCTGGTGGCTGCTGGCCCCGTGGCTCGCGGCCGGGGACGGTTAATCCTGGCCAGCTGCGGGGCTGGGGCCGGGCAGCACCCAGGCCCCCACCACGGCGTCCCATGGGGCACCCCACATCCCTGGGCTCTGGGTGGGTGGCAGGGGGCTTGGCCATGGGGGGAACTGTCCCTAAAACTGCTTCTGTCCCCATAGAGCCACGTGGGATCGGAGCCGGCACTGGGAGCTGGGGGCAGGACGTGCTATGGAGCTGAGCCTGGGGGGTGCCTGAAGCCAGCAGAAGGATGAGGATGGGGTGGGGGGACGCGGAGTTCCCCAACGGGAGCCTGGCTGCCCGGCCGGACACCTGCTTCGGGGTGGTGAACTTCAGCACCAGCCTCAACGAGACGCAGAGGAAAGCCATCGCCTCGCCCTGGTTCTCCACCGCCTTCGGCCTCATCGGGCTCTGCTCCAACCTCTTCGCCCTCTACGTCCTGCTCAGCTCCTCCCGCAAGCTCACCAGCCGCTCCCGCTCCTCCTTCCTCGTCTTCCTCTGCGGGCTGGTGGTCACGGACTTCATGGGGCTGCTGGTGACGGCCTCGGTCATCATCCCCTACCACTTCATCAAGTTCGACTGGGCCGAGGTGGACCCCGGCTGCCACCTCTGCAACTTCCTCGGCTTCTCCATGGTTTTCTTCGGGCAGTGCCCGCTGCTGCTGGGGGCCACCATGGCCGGCGAGAGGTTCTTCGGCATCAACCACCCCTTCTCCCGCTCCACCAGCATCTCCAAGCGCCGCGCCTGGTCCATCGTGGGGATGGTTTGGGGCTTCTCCTGCCTGCTGGGGCTGCTGCCGGTGCTGGGGCTGGGCCGCTACACACTGCAGTACCCCGGCTCCTGGTGCTTCCTCACCCTCCTGCCCGACACCGGCAACGCCGTTTTCTGCCTGCTCTTCGCCCTGCTGGGCATCTTCTCCGTGGTGCTCTCCTTCATCTTCAACACGGTCAGCGTGGTCACGCTCTGCCGCGTCTACCACGACCGCGAGTCCGTGCAGCGGCGGCGGGACAGCGAGGTGGAGATGATGGTGCAGCTGGTGGGCATCATGATCATCGCCACCATCTGCTGGATGCCGCTGCTGGTGAGGCCCTGGCTGGTGGCGTGGCCCTCTCAGGGAGGGAGGGGGGGGCCAGGTCTCAGTGTGCTCCCCATGTCCAGCCTGGTGCCCCCGTGTCCCTTCTGGTGAGGCCGCGAGGTTTTGGTGCCCCCCTGCTTGTCCCTCGTGGTGTGGCCCTGGGAGCTGTCCCCTCGTGTCCCTCCTGGTGAGGTCCTGGTGTCCCCCCCCCATCACCCGCAGCAAAGCCCCAGCTCTCGGTGTGCCCCTTCCCAGCCCCTCCTGGTGAACCCCCTTGATCTTGGTGTCCCCCCCCATGCCCTAAGAGGAGTCCCCAGCCCTTGGTGTCCCCCAACATCCCTTCTGGAAAGACCCTGGGTCTGGACGTGCCCCCCCCCCAACCCCATCTCTCCACCTGGGGACCTCAACCTCGGTGCAACCCCACAGCCCTCCCCTCCCCATCCTTGCAGGCCCACCGGGTGCCCAAAACCACAGGTGCCCAACGCGGGACCCCCAGGTCCTGCCCCAAACCCTACAGGGAGCGGTGGGGAGCCCCCGGGATCATCTCACGCCTCCCCTCTCCCCCCCCAGATCTTCATCATCCAGACCATCCTGCAGCAGCTGCCGGCCGGGGAGCGCTCCCAGACGCTGCCCACGGAGACGCAGAAGCTGCTGCTCATCTACATCCGCATGGTCACCTGGAACCAGATCCTGGACCCCTGGGTCTATATCCTGTTCCGCCGCGCCGTGCTGCAGCGCGTGCACCCGGGGCTGCGCGCCCGGCCCTCCCTGCTCTCCCTCTACCCCGTCCTCAACCCCTCGCTGCGCCGCAAGCTCGCCCAGGAGGCCCGGCTGCAGTAATTTTTTTTTTTTTTTTTGGGGGGGGGATGTAATTTTGATGTAATTTTGGGGAAATAGGGATGATGGTGAGCAGGACCCCCGCCCCGGCTGCAGGAGGTGGGCGCACACAGCCAGGGTGCAGTGGTTTATTGATTAGTGCTCTCCACGCCGGGCACCATGAGGCCGGGGGATGCGGTGCCCGGTGGGGTAAGGGGGGTGGGAGGCATGGGGGTGCTCCCCCCACACCCCCCCGTGTGACCCCTCCCCAATAAAGCGCAGCTTGTGCAGCTCTCTGTGCCCGCTGGGTGCCCCCAGCCCCGCTCCTCTGGGCTCTGCTGTGGGTGCTTGGGTCCTGCTGAGAGGGGGGGCTGGCACCCAGAGGGGGGGACTCGCACCCATGGGCGGGGGGTGGGCTCTGCAGCCCCCCCCAGCCTGGGGTGGGTGCACGGCAGCGCTCACACGGTCACAGGATGGGGACCCCCAGCGCCACCACCAGCCTCACACAGGACGGTGGCACAGGGGGGACACAGAGCAGGGACCTGGGCAGGGGGCACTGCCCCCCCCCGGCTACTCCTGCGCCCCCCCAGTGCTGCAGACAGCCGCCCACACCTCGGCCACAAACTCTGGGGGGAAGGCAAACTCCCCCAGCACCGAGTCCAGGCCGTGGGCGAGTGCGGTGGTGCCAGGGCTCTGCTTCGCCATCTCCACCATGGTGGCGGCTGCGGGGAGAAAGGGGGGATTAGCACCAAGGGGGGGGGGGCAAATTGGGGGGTGGGAGGGCACGGGGGGCTCACCCAGCTCGCTGTCGCGGATGCCCATGTAGCTCTCCAGCAGGTCATCCACGCGGCGGGCGGCTTCTTCCTCCGTGGCGCTGGGCTGTGGGTGGGAGCGGGGGGCACCCAGTGCAGGGGGCACCCAAAGGGGGGGTACATCTCCCCCCCCCAGCCCAGCACGGTGCCTGCCCATGGGTCTGGGGGTGCCTTACCCCCTCCTGCAGCGTGGCCGGGCCCTGTGCCCGCAGCCGCAGCGTCTCCTTCCCGCTGGCCACTCTGCCCTCGGCGGGGCACTTGCTGCTGCTCCGCGTCCTCTGCCCGATCATGTCTGCACCCCGGGGTGGGGGCGAGGGGCAGGGAGGGTGCCCGGGGGTGGAGGGGCAGGGATAATAAAGGAGGGGCAGACAAAGATAACCAAGAACATCGGTGATGGACAGCCAGGGGTGACCAAGAACACCCAAGGGTGGCCAGCCAAGGCTCCCCAAACAGCCCAGGGGACACACAAGGAGGGCCCCGTGTGTGGCCAAGGACACCCATGGGTGCCCATCAGGGATGGGCATGGGTGCGGTGTGCCCATGGGTGCTCAGGGCAGGGCATGCAAAGAACATGGTCACAGGGGCAGTTTGGGGTGCACGGGCAGGTGTGGGGGTGCGCCCTAATATAGGGTGATCGCAGGGGTGCCCGCAGCCCTGGGGGGGGGTTGCAAGGGTGTGGGGTGCTTGTAGGGGTGCACACGGGTGCCCAACAGTGGGGTGGATCCTGAGGGAGGCTGCAGGAGCCCGGCACCCTGCTCTGGGTGCCACAACCCACGGGACCACGGGGTGAGCGCACGGCCCGTGCGCATTGCAGGAGGGGTCTGGATGCCCCTTCCCAGGGGTCCCCAGGCAGAGCAGCCCCCCCTCCCCGCTCACCAAAGGCCTTTTTGGGCTGCACCAGGCGCAGGGTGAAGGGCTGAGCGCGGGGCAGCTCCCGCAGCATGCGGGCCACCTCGTAGTGCCGGCAGCCCACGATGGTGTGGTCGTTGATGGCCTCGATGCTGTCGCCCACGCACACCGCCTGGATGCGGTTGATGATGCTCCCCTCCTTGATCCGCTGGGGAGGGGGGGGGACACGGTGACACCAAGGGGAGGGGGACATCGGGAGGACAGACAGACACAGCCCCCATCCCACGCCTCCTTGCACCGATTTCCTTTAGCAACGGGGTCAGCCAGGGAGCCCCCCAAAATGCACCATGCAGAGGGGGACCCCCGGGCTCAGGGTAGATGCAGAGACCCCCCCCTCAGCCCCCCCCCAACGCTCCCCCACCTTGATGAAGGCGTAGCCAGCCCCGTTGTCCGTGATGGTGAGCCCCAGCGCGTCCTCAGTCTTGGTCACCTCCACCTCCTTGGTCTCCCCCCGGACGTGGGCGAAGATGAAGTCCTCCAGGCCGATCTGCCCCCCCAGCAGCTTCTGCATGTCCACTTTGTGCGTGTTCAGCGTGCAGAAGAGGATCTGCCACCGGCACCCCAGTGTCACCGTGGCTGGGGACACCGGCGGTGCCAGCGCCACCCCCCCACATACACACACACCCCGCTGCCTCACCTCGGTGGGCGAGATGCTGAAGACCTCGGCGATTTTGCCGTAGAGCTCCTTGACGTTGGTGAAGCCCTCGATGCGGCCCGTGGGGCTGCCGTGGGCCAGCTGGGTGCGGAACACCAGGCGGGGGCGGACGCGTGGGGGCCGCGGGGCTGGGGGCGGCTCGGGACCCCCCGGTTCCTGCCCCACGCCGTTCTCCATGGGGCCGTCCTCCCGGGGCTGCCGGCCGTGCTTGCTCACCCGCTGCATCCCGCTGCTGCCGCTGAATTATAGATGGGCACCGGCGTAAGGCGATCCCCAGGGGCCAGGAACCCGATCTGGTGGCACAGGTCAGCCCCCGGGATCGGGTGAGCAGCACCACGGCCCCACCGCACCCCCCCGGGGCGCAGGATGGGGCGGCAGCGATGAGCGCGGGGCCATCGCCCTTGTAGGACACCCCACAGCTCTGAGCCAACAGCACGGGGATGAAGCTGCTCCAGGTGGCTCCTGTCCTTTGAAGCCCCCCCCCCCAAGCACAAACACACGGAGCCCACGCTGGTTTCTCCCACGTTTATTCACTCCCATCTCCATCCCGAGCCCAGCAGCCACCGGGAGATGGCAACCAGGAGACTCGTCTACAGAGCACCGACCTCGCAGGCAAGAGGGGGGAGGGGGGGATTGGACCCCTGCCCTGGGTTAAACCCGGGGCCGAATCCACGTAGTGCTAATAAGAAAATAAGACACTCTCTAATTACACAATCTGAGATTTCTGACCGGCAGCCCCAGGGTCGTCCGACCCCAACACGGCGTGGCGAGGACGCGGCTGCCGGCACGGTGGTCCCATGAGGGCTCCCCAGGGCTGGGGGGGCTCCGGCCCCGCTCCCCCTCAGCACAGTTTTGCCTTTGCCGGGGCGTGGGGAAGGGGCTGCCCTGCCTGGCCCCAGAGGCACGGGGGAAGCAGAGGGGGCAGGGGGGGTGCGTGGGGCTGAGGGGCTGAAGGCACCCAAGGGTAAGCAGCGAGGGGAAAAGGGCAGATTAAATAAAACAAGAGAGAGGGGAAGGAAACCTGTCACCTCCCCCATGGCAGGCAGAGGGTCCCTGGGCTGATTTTGGGGCTGGGACGTGGCACTGAGCCCCGGGGGGCTCCCCACGCACCCCAGGGGGCACGGCTGCCTCTCCTGGCCACGCTCACCACGTCGGGGACAGGAGCCTTGAGCCGAGCCAAACATGCAGGGGGGCAGCTCGAAGGAGGTCCTGTCCCCACCGCGGAGAGGCGAGGCCATCGAGGAGGGGCTGGGTGTCAGCCCTCCTGCTTTAGGGACCTGTCACAGCTGCCCCACAGCCCTGGGGTCACCGTGGAAGGGGCTGCTGTCCTCCAGGCCCTCCACCCGCAGGCTGCGGTGCCGCATCTGGCACCGGGGCTCAGCGAGCCGGGGCTGCAGGCGATGCCCAGGGGCTGCGGGAGCTGGGGAGCGCACAGGAGAGCAGGGGGGGCTCGTGCTGGGGGCTCAGCCACGGCACCGCTTGGTCCCCAGAAGCTCAAGGTCCTCGGAGATGTCACCGCCGCGGGGCCGGGGTCGCCCCCCGCTGATGTGGAGGGGGAAGCAGCCGGCCCAGCAGCAGGGACTGTCCCTTGTGGGAGCTCCAAGGGACAGGGCCGTGGTCCGGCGGGCCCCGGGCTCCAGCAGGGACTGGTCCTCTTCACAAGTGTTCGCTGCAGGGGGTGGAAAACGAGGTCAAATGACTGGGTTTGACTTCTCCTCCCCAAAACTGCATGGAGACGGCCCCGAGCCCCCCCTGCAGCCACACCGGGTGCTGCCAGCCCTGCCCCGCTCACCTGGCTATCCGGGACAGGATCTCCTTGATGCGAACCACCAGCTTCTCGTGCTGCAGGGGGTTGCTCTCGATGGCGCTGTGCAGCTTGGCCATGTAGAAGTCCAGAGTGCTCAGCGTCGGCGTCTCCCCGGTGCCTACGGGGCAGCAGCTTGGTAAGTCCCCACCCAGCCTCGTGCACCGTGCTGGGGACGAGACCCTGAACGAGGTCCTGCAGCACTGAGCTCCCACCCATACAAAGCCAGGAACAAAAGGATTGTTCCTCTTCCCAACACCTCCCCGGAGGAAGCTGTGACTGCATCTAGGGACGAGGACAGTTCCCAATTTGTCCTGTCCTGCTATAGAGGAGCTGCCTGGCACATCTGGGCTCTCTGAACCCCAAATGCTCTGTGATCCTCCCCCCACCAGACGAGCAGTTATCACCGCCCCACTGACATCCCTGCTACAGCCCCCGCTGGCTTCAGCCCCCTCCACGTGGCCACCGTGTCCCAGGACAGCAAGGTTGGTCCCCGGGGCTGCCCCGAGCTCACCAGGGATGGGGAGGGAGGCGAAGCTGGTGGTGAGGGCCTGCCGCACGGACTGGAGCTGCTGCTGCAAGGCCAGGGTCTGCCTCTCCTCCTGCGCCAGCTCCTGCTCCAGCTTCTCCTTGGCGCAGTTCATGCTCTCCGTGTGCTTCTGCAGGATGGCGTTCTGCTCCTCGAACTCCGTGTTCATCTTCCGCAGGCGCCGCAGCTCGGCCTCCCGGGCTGCCGGGGACAAATGGGGTCCAAAAGGGTCAGGGGGGGAATGGTGACCCCATCCAATACCCCAAACTCAGCCCCTTACCTTTATTTTGGTCCAAGAACTCTTCGGTGAAGATGGGCACGTCGAAGGTGGAGAAGGAGTCGCTGCACTCCCCAGCCTGGAGGACAGGAGGGGACAGGGCTGAGGGGACAGCCACGCGCTGCCTCCTGCAGCTCTGCTTCAACCCAGGAAGCCAAACCCCGCAGTGCCACGTGCCTCAGTTTCCCCACAGGGCCGTGGAGCTGCCAGCACCTTACCTTGTGCCCGTTCAGCAGGGTGTTCACCGCCACGGAGCCGGCATCCTCTGGGAAGGAGGCAGGGGGTTACCCTCCACGAGCCGCCCCAACACACCCCCCCCCGAGCAAAGGGCAGCTGCCCCGGCCCCACAGCCCACCTTTCTTGATCTTCTTCTCCTGGATTTTCTCCGTGCACATCTTGTAGGCCTCCGACTGCTGGTACTCCCGCAGCTCCTTCATGTACTGCTGCTTCTCGCGCTCCGCTTCATCCAGGTACCGCTGCGGTCACAGACGTCCTCAGCCTGGCCCGGCCCCACAGCGGGCTCCCCGTGGTGCTGCTGACCCCCTCCCACCCCCCGAGGCCTGGCTCCTGCTCCCCAGCACCGAGATGGGCCCCCCGGTAACCCCCTTGTGACACTTTTTGTGCCCAGACCTCGAGTGCACAAAGATTTTGGCTTCCAAGTGCACCGAGGTGTGATGGGGCCGATCCCAGCCTGCGAGCAGAGGGGGGTCAGGTGCAGGAGCCTCCAGAGAGGCTCCACCAGGATGGGGGGGAGCTGCCAGCCCCAGATGAGCCCCCCCACACCCCGGTACCTGCTTCTCCGACAGCTGCAGCTTGCTCCACTCGGCTCCCAGCATCTTGGTGATCTCTGGGAAGGGCAGGTCAGGGTGCTGCGTGCGGATCTGCTCGCGGCGCTCGTTCAGAAAACGGACGTAGCCCGTCACGGGGGCCTTGGGGCCATTGGGCAGGATCTTCTTCCTCTTCTTGCCCTTGGGCCAGCCCCTCTTCTTCACCGGCTGGCGCCCCGAGAAGGGAAAGGGACAAGCTGGCGTCGACGGCGGGGCAGGACCCGCACCCCTCGGGGCAAGGTCTCAGCCCTTCCCTGACCACGGTCACCCCACGGGTCCCACAGCACCACGAGCTGGGGTCTGGCCCCAAGCCCCGGGGACACAGCGGGGCTCACCTCCTCCTCGCCGTGTGGCTTCTCGCCGCTGGCCCGCGCCACCTCCCCCTTCTCCTGCTTGATGGCCACCAGGAAGTTGCCATGCTGAGCCTTGCCTGCAGCATGCCTGCGGACACAGAGAGCCCCTCAGAGAGGGCTGGGGACCCCCTGCAGCACCGCCAGACCCCCAGCTCCCACCCATGCACGGTGCCCAAAACCAATCCCGACCCCAGGGCTCAGCAGAGCCCAGCTCCAGGTGGACAGGACACAACCCCGGGCACACAAAATCTGCTCCGAGGTCCACCCAAGGCCCCTTGGTGACGTTTCGAGTGGGGCTGGGAGCTGCCAGCACCGCTCCGGATGGCAGCGAGCAGCGAAGGTGACCATAAAAACACTCGGGGACACCCCCACGTGGCACCCAGACAGCGCGGCGGGTTGTCCTGAGGGACACACAGCGGCCGATCCTCCTCGGCGAGGGGGGAGCCGCCACGGGGACAGCTCCTGGTGGCAGCACCCCCCGCGGGGACCAGACGAGCCGGGGCCAAAACCGCTCCTTTGGTGCACGGAGCCACCTCCGGAGGCACCCGGCGGTTCTCACGAGCGGCCGGGAGCCCCGAGGCTGCTTCCCAGCGCGGTGCCACATCCTCACACAGCCCCAGCACGGATTAAATCAGGCTCGGAACCCCCCCCAGCCCCACCACAGCCTCTCCCCAGGGCTCCTAAGGCTCTCCCCGGCTCCTTCCCATGGCGGAGCCCCCGTCCCGCCTGCGCCCCTTTGATCCTGCGGCTTTGATGGCCCCATCCCAGCCGGTCACACAGCCGCCGACCACACCAGAGCACGGCCGGGGCTGCCGGACACGGGGAGACGCAGAGGGTGCGAGCGGGGCGGTCGGCACGGCCGGGCTGTTCTTTCATCCCAGTCACAAGATCCCTTTAATAGCGAGGGGCTGGGCGCAGCCCCCCCAAGGGAAAGGGAATTTGGCTGTGCACCGACAGCCCGGCGCATCCGGACTCGCTCCCTGGTTTTTAGCGTCCCTCGCTCACATCACACGCTCGGTGTGAGCCCAGAGCCCTGCACGAGCCAGAATTCACCCGAAAATTCAATCCTGTCCCCCCCCTCCGAATCCTGGGGACCCCAGCTCTAAGGCTGACCCCCTCCCCAGGACCCAGCCCCTCGCACTGAGGCTACGGGATGCTGTGGGAACATCGTCAGCCCCCCAGAAAATAACAACTGCTGTGGCTCCAGCCCTTCTGTACGAGCCCCAACACAACACCCAGCCCCAGCAGCCCGGTCCCGTCCCGTAGCGCGGTGGGGAATGTGCTGACCCCCCCCCAGGCGGGGAGCTCTGCCTCCCCCACGCAGCGCCGCGGATTCCTTTCGTGCCTGAGGATGCTTTAAAAAGCCAAACTATTCCCGGCACCGTTCCTCCCCTTATCTCGGCTCCCTTGGGCATCCACCTCCTGGCGCCGCAGTGGCTCCGGGACCTGGAACCCCGGGACACAGCAGGAACAGCCCCCGGGGGGGGGCAACACCCCCCAGGGACCGCACGTGGTGTGTCCCAAACAAGCTGAGGCTGAGATGACTCAAAACTCATGGCATATTTTTGGGGTTTTTACCCCAGGCCCTACAGGAAAGGCCCCCAAGGTGGGCACGGTGATGCTTGTGCCCCCCCCCACGTGATCCCCACCCCCCTTCTGGGGGTTTGTCTCCCCTCAGGGCTGGGGGGGGGGGCACTTACAGCATCCCAGCGGGCGCCTGCTTCGTGCTGTGGGCCATGGGCAGTGGGGGGGGAGCTCAGAGCAAGACCCTGAGGGACAAAACCGGGGGTGTCACCGGGGCCCTGGGGGCCACCAAAGCCACAGGCCAAGCCCCCCCATACCCCATGGACCAAGCCCCCCCTTGCTCAACTCCTTCCCTCCAGGCCTCCATGGCTGCCCCTCCTCAACCGCCCAGCACCCCCAGACCCCCCCCAGCACCCTTAGGCCCCCTCCAGCCCCCCCAAGCAACTTCAGCACCCCCCCAGCACATCCTGAATCCCCCCAGCCCCCCCCAGGCTCCTTCAGTACCCCCCTATCTCCCTTTCCTACACCCCCAGACCCCCCCCAGCACCCCTAGACCCCCTCTAAGCCCCCTCCAGCACCCCCAGACCCCCCCCAACGCCCTTTGCTACACCCCCAGACCCCCCCCCCAGCACCCCTAGACCCCCTCTAGACCCCCTCCAGCCCCCCCCAGCAACCCCAGCAACCCCCAGCACCCCCAGGCCTCTTCCAGCCCCCCCCAGACCCCCTCCAGCACCCCCAGGCCCCCCCCAATCCCACTTTCTACACACCCAGACCCCCCCCAGCACCTCTAGACACCCTCCAGACCCCCCCTAACACCCCCAACCCCCCCCCAGCACCCCCGGATCCCCCCCAGTACCCCCAGACCCCCTCTAGACCCCCTCCAGCCCCCCCCAGCACCCCCAGGCCCCTTCCAGGCCCCCCCAGACCCCCCCATGACCCCCCCAGGCCCCCCCCAATCCCCCTTTCTACACCCCCAGGCCCCCCCCCAAGAACCCCCAGGCCCCCCCCCTCACCTCCAGGCCTCCCCCAGTCCCCCCCAGCCCCCGTTACCCCCGGTCCCCCCCCGCCATCTTGGGCCCCCCCCGCCCCCGCCCCCACCTTCCGTGTCCCCGCCGGGCCCCTCGGCCTCCCTTCCCCGCCGGGCCCCGCCCCTCTATTATTATGCAAATGAGCCCCCGCTTCCGCTCCGCCGATTCGCTCCCCGCGCCGGGCCGGGGGGCGCGAGGCGCAGCGCCGATTGGTTGGAAGCTGCTGACGTCACAGGGAGGAGGCGGGGAAGGGGCGGGGCGAAGCCGGGGGCCGTCGCTGCGCGCTCGCGTGCGCCGGGTTCGGCGCGCGCGGCCGGCCGGGCAGCCAATCAGGAGCCGGCGTGAGGACGGGGAAGCGTTGAGGGGAGGGCAGCGCCTTAAAGGGGCAACGGCAGAAGGCGAGCAGTGGGGCCCACAGCATTCGGCCCCCCTCGGGTGCACCCCCAGCGCCCACCCGGCCAAGCAGCGCGGGGGGGCCCCGAGACCCCAAAACTCCCCCAGTGCTCCCAGTGCCCCCAGTGCCCAGCCCAGGGGCGTCCCAGTGACCCCAGGACTCCCCCCACACTGCTCCCAGTGCTCCCAGTGCGGTCCCAGTGCTCCCAGTTACCCCTCCCCAGCCCTCCCAGTGCCCCCAGTGCTCCCTTTTGGGGTCCCAATGGCCCCAAGCCGCCCCCTCTCACTACTCCCAGCACCCCCAGTGCCTGCTGGAGTGGGGGGTTCCCATGTCCCCCACACTCACCCCTCCCAGTGCTCCCAGTACTCCCCCACACCACTCCCAGTGCCCCCCAGTGCCCACCCCCAGGACCACCAGTGCCCCAGCACCCCCCCCCCCAGCTTTGGGGCACCCCCAGCCCTGACCCCACACCCCACGGAGCTGCAGAGACCGAGCAGGACTGGGAACCCCACGGTGCCCCCCAGCACCCTTGGGTGCCCAAAGCACCCAGTGTCTGGGGTGCCCGGAGCTGGGGGGCGTGGGCACGGGAGGGGGCAGCCGGTTCCCAGCTGGGGGGGGGCAGCTGTGGCAACCCCCCCAGCTTGTCCCCCCCCGGGGCTGCTCGCCCATGGGCCTGGATTTTCGCTTCCTCCCTGTCCCTGAGTCACCGCCGTGCCCTCACATGACGGGGGGGGGGGCCGGGGGGGGCCGGGGGGAGGCCGGGGGCTGGCGGGTGATGTGTGGCCCCCACCACCCTTGGCCCTCACCACGGAGCTGCCGGGGGAATCACAAGACCTGGCACCCATGCAAATTGTTCATCCGGAGCATCCCGGCCCCGGGGCTCCGTCACCCCTGTTATGTCAGCATCGGGGGGGTGGGCATCCAGGGAAGGGTTCCCCAAAAATGCACGGTCCGGGAGCCCCCAGCCCGGCTCTCCCGGAGGTGCCCGACCCACTCGGGTTACCCCCGATGCCCCCCCAGCCCCCGGTTTCGTCCCCGGGATCTCAGCATCCCCGTGGGCAGAGCGGGTGGCACTGGGGGGGCTGCGGATGCTCGCCCCCACCCCACGGGCAGAGCTCTGTCCCGCTGTGCCTTTGGGGTCTGAGCCACCAAGAACCCGCTTGGAACAGCCTCAAACTCCCCAAAAACACCCAGAAACACCCAGAAATGGCCCCACAGCAGAGAAACCCCCCCAGCAGCGGGCATGCACCCATGGGGAGGGTGCTCCCAGGGGCTGGGGTGATGGGGGCCCGGCAGCACCCTTGGGGGGGGTCCCTGGGGACCCATTGGGGGGCACATCTGGGATGTCTCCGCAAGGATGGCAGAGACACAGGGAAGGGGGGGCTGGTGTTAGGGAAGGGGGGGCTGGTGTTGGGGCAGGGGGCTCCCAGATTTTTTGGGTGCCTGGGGGCACAGCAACAGCGCCGGGTGCCGTGGGGCTGGGGTGCAAACGGGCTCCCATTTCTGCCCAAGGCAGTGGTGGGGGCATCACGGGCAGCATCTGTGTGCCCCCCCCCATGCCTGGGGGCATCACAGGCAGCGTGTGTGTCCCCCCCTCTGTACCCAGGGACATCACGGACAGTCTGCGTGTCCCCTCCGTGCCCACAGCACCCAGCCTTTTACCCCAGGGATCCCACTGGGGACCAGCGTGCCCCCAGTGCGCTCCCAGTACATCCCCAGTGTGCCCCCAGTGTGCCCCCAGCGTGTCCCCAACACGGGGGGGGTTGCACCAAGGCAGTCAGGACCCCGCAGCAGCTGCGTGGCTCCCGGTCCCAACCCCTGGTGCCGGACGTTCCTCGGCCAGGCCTGGTGCTGGGGGGGCAGCACCAGGGAGCGGGGATGGCGGGGACGGGGGGGGGGACACGGCCTGCGCTGCTCGGGGGCCTGAGCGGGACCACCACCACCACCACCGCCACTGCTGCTCCCCCCGCCACAGGCCCCGTCCCGCCCCGGCTCCATCCCCGCCCCGCCCCGGCCCGCTGGGCGCTATAAGCGGGCGGCCGAGGCCGGTGCGAGCGGCCCGGCTATGGCGGAGCCCCCGCGGAGGAGCTCGCTCGGGGCGGGCGGCTCGGCGGTGGCGGTGGCGGCGGTGACGGTGGCGGAGGCGCTGCCGCTGCGGGCACGGCTGAGCTTTGCGGCCGGGCATTTCCTGAACGATTTGTGCGCCTCGCTCTGGTTCACCTACCTGCTGCTCTACCTGCACGCCGTGCTGGGCTACAGCCACCGGCTGGCCGGTGGGCTACTGCTGGCCGGGCAGGTGGCCGACGGGCTGTGCACGCCGCTGCTGGGCTACGAAGCCGATCGCTCGGCCGGCTGCGGCCGCTACGGCCGGAGGAAATCCTGGCACTTGGCTGGTAAGGGCTGGGATGCTGCGGGAAACCCAACCCAAACCAACCCGGGGGGGGGCTGTGAGAGGGGGGGGTCTCGGAGAGGGGTTGGGGGGCTGGGGGTGCTTCTCCATGGGGCTCGGTGGGGTTTCCCCTAACGGAGGGCGAGGTGCTGCTCCCGGCAGCTTTGGGGTTCAGGGGGGCTCTGCTGGAGCCCCGATGCTGCTGAGTGTCCCCAGCCCCAAAGCTGCCTGGAGGGGCCTTTTTGGGGTGCCCCAAATGGGGGTGTAACACCCCCCCCCCCGTGGCACTGAGGTGGGAACGGGGCAGAGCAGGCATGGGGCAGCCCCGTGGGGGTAATGGGGTGCAGGGGAAGGGGCTGTGTGATGTCCCTGTCCTGCCTGGGTGCTGTCTCCCTGCAGTGGTGTGGGGTGTCCCCCTGTCCCCCCACATGGGGGTGGCACCAAGGCAAAGGGGTAAAAAGGAGACCGAAAGGTAAATCTGGGTTTTCCCACGAGCACGGGGATTTACCTGGGGCTTCCCTCGAGCGGGAGGTTCCCGGTGCAGCAGCACTGATGGGTGACCTTGGGGTGCGGGATGCCCACCGGGGCTGCTCCCAGTGCTGGGGACCAGGCTGGGGCTCCCCGGGTCAGGGCACGCGTGGGCTCTGCTCCGGGTGAGGAACGGCCCCGTGGGGACGAGGGGGAGGCAGCACCAGGTCCGTGTGAATGATTAACGGGTGCCCAGCTCACACCCTGGGTGAACAAGGCACTGAAGGGCTTGGGGCTGCCCCGCTGCCGTCGGGGGCCCTCCCTGAGGGGACAGCGAGACCTGGAGAAGGGTCCTCGGAGCCGTGGCACTCGCGGGAGCCTGCCCTGTCCCTGCTGGTGACGGGGAATGGGGCAGTGAGAGTGGGGAAACCTCCGTGGGCAGGAGATGGAGACCCTCGGTGCTTCCTCCTCCTGGTAGCACCCCAGGGTGCCCACGGAGCCGTGCGGGGAGAGGACGGTTGTGCTGTGGGTGCCGTTATCTTGATGCCGAATTTCTCCCTGCCAACCCGATAAGGCAGCTGGGCTGCCCGGCGGTTGGCTTGGCCTGGCCCCCCAGCCCTGAAATGAGCCAGAAAAAGGTGTGCAGGGGGGGCAGCTTCACCCCCTGCCGCACCATCTGTGAGATCTGCGCCCTGAATTTAGGGAAGTGGCCGGAGCTGTGACTCCGGCATGGGCAGCGCTGCCTCGGCCGGGTGCACCCAAGGGGAAGTTCTGAATCACATCTTGCACGGGGGCTGTGCTTGCCCCCAGCCGGCCCCACTGCAGCTGCAGAGAGCACCGCGAGGGCCTGGGGCTGAGCTCCAGCATGGCCCTGCCTGCTTCGGGGGGACAGGGGAGGCTGGGGACACAGGCTGAGGCTGGGGACACGGGCTGAGACTTCGTTTCCCCAGCCAAAGCATGGGTTATTCCTGGAAGTTGGGTGCTACCCCACTGCCTTCCCAGTCCCACCACAGCTCAGCCCAGTCCCAGACTGGCCCTGCTGGTCCTGCTCCTGGGTCACGCTGTGGGGAGATGCTCCTGCGCGTGGGAGGGGGTGGCCCATCTGGCAGCAACCCATGCTCAGATCGGAGGAAACGTCGTGAAACCACAGCCTTGCGGGGGGAGATACCACGAGTTGCTATCAGCACCATCTCCCCTCCGCGGTGCTGGGCTGGCTGGCGGCGGGGCTGCCAGGGCCGATGCTCCCGAGACGTTGGCTTGCTGCGGGATGCTCACCCTGCCCGTAGGATTTTGGGGCAGCTCCCTGCAGCCATGGGGTGGGAGCAGCTCCTCGCTTTGCTGCTGAGCGAGTCTGGTTGGGCTGCCCCAAATCCCCCGCCTGCAGCGGCTGCGCTGCGCTCGCCCACTTGCAGCCGGCGTTCCCGTGACTCTGCCCCGGAGGGCTGCGAGATGAGAGCTTGGATCTCTGCCACCTGCACGGGGTGCTGGGATGCTCCCGGAGCCCTGTGTGGGGCTGTGGTGGCCTCCGTGGGGATGGTGGCTGCACCCCGCTGGCTGCTTTGGTGGCCCTGGGTGCTCTTTGGTGGCCCTGCTGGGGTCTGCTGCAGGGCGGAGGAGCAATGAGGTGGGGATGGGGTGGTGCAAGCACGCTGGGGTTGCACTGAGGCTGCGAGCTCCTGGCCTTTGGGTCTGGGCTAGGAGCGGAGCTGGGCCCCTGGGGGGCTCCTGTGGTCCTGCTGGGATGAGCAGGGGCCCCCAGGACAGCTCTGGGATGGAGGCACAGGCGTGACACAAACGGCTTCTGGCACACGGGGGTGTCAGGGCGGATGTGGGAGCTGCAGCAACCCCAGGCCCAGGGACTGCAGCTCCTGCCCCAGCGCTCCCCGGGGACAAGGGCAAGTCCCTCGCAGCCCTTTGGGGACTGCAGAGCCCGAGTCTGTGGGGCCCAAGGCTGGGCAGGGGGCACAGCCTCAGTGATCCTGGGTGTTCTTTGGTGTTTAACATGGGCACGAGTTCTGGTCTGAGTTCTGCATCTTCTCGGACCATTCCCTGCCCTGGGTGGGACAGGGACACCGCGGTGTGCCTGAGCCCCGTCCCTCGGAGAGCTCCTGGAGCACTGGAGCTGGTGGTGGGCTGGTGCAGGGCAGCACCCAGCACCCTGCTGGGGTCCTCATGGGCACCCAGACTGTGCTGGGATCACTGGGATGCCCTTGCTGGGCATGGGGCGAGGGGATCTGCCCTGCTCCTGGCAGCCCCTGCGGCTGCGTGCTCCTCGGGCATCCTCCCCAAGTGGCAGTGCCGGGGAGGAGCTGCCCTTGTGGCCGAAGGAAGGAGAAATCTCTCGTCAGGAAAAGGATCTTGCACAGTCCTGCAGAGAGGGGAGCCTGGGGACCTGGCGAAGCGGCTGCGGGTTCCCCTGGGCTGTGGGAGCGGGTTCCTGTGGTTTTGTGGCCAGCGGGTGTTGCGGGTTTGGCAGCGCCCGGCGCAGGACAGGACAGAGCAGGGCACGGCGCCCGGGCCTGCATCTCGTCGGATTTGATCCGTAACCTTCTGGAAGCGGAGGGGGAAGCCGGCCTGTCCCTTCCTGCTCCACGCAGGCGTCCCTGTGGCGTGCGAAGGGGACGCTGCTGGGCTGTGGTGGAGGCAGGGACCTGGCTCTGGTGTCACTGACTCAGCCGGGACCTTCCCATCAGGGCAGCAGCGTCTGACGCCAGCGTGGGGACAGATCTGCTCCTGCCCCGATGTGCTGGGGGCTGCTGGGGACGCCCCCGGCTGCTGCTTTTTGTGGCTCCCTGCAGCAGAAGGGGCGAGGGGACAGATGGACAGGCTGTGTGCCTGCAGGAGCGGGGGCTGTCCCGGTGCTCAGGGCACCTTATCACCCCCAGGCAGGCGGCGGCGCGGCGCCGTGGCCTTGGGGCCGGTTATCTGCAGGCCTGGAGGTGGGCAGCGGCCGGGGGGAGTTGATCCCTCCCCTGCAGCCCTGTCCATGGCTAGGAGCCAGCTGTGGCCATCAGGTTGCAGGGCGCTGGGCTCGCAGCCCCTCACCGCTCCCCTCTCTCCCCAGGCACCACCTGCGTCCTCGTGTCCTTCCCCTTCATCTTCAGCCCCTGCCTGGGCTGCAAGGAGAACACGCCGCAGTGGGCAGCCTTCATCTACTACCTCCCCTTCATCGTCATCTTCCAGTTTGGCTGGGCGGCCACGCAGATCTCCCACCTGTCCCTCATCCCCGAGCTGGTGACCAGCGACCACGAGAAGGTGGAGCTCACGGCTTTCAGGTGAGCGTGGCCAGCCCTGGCTGTCCCCTGAGCCGAGTCCCTTCGCCTCCGTGGGGAGAGGAGAGAACTCACCGCGACCCACCAAGCCCAGCCGGGCTTCGTGCTGTGGTGCAGGCAGAGGCAGGGCTGTCTGCCAGCTCCCTTCCCCCCTTGGTACTGGGGTGCCAGGTCCCCAAACCCCCTGCCCCAGCCTCAGAGGGTGCATCGGCACAGAGGAGCTCATGCCCACGGGGCACTTTTTCCTTTGGAACTGGAGGGTGATGCTCACACGGGAGGAATGTGTCCCCAGGTGTCCCCGGGGAGGGGAGGGCCGGGCACTGCCCTGTGCTGGCCGTCCCGGAGGCCGCAGTGTCCCCAGGGCTGTGCGTGTGGCCCCAGAGCTTGTGCTGCTTATCTGGAGGGGCCGGGCTGCAGGAAGGGGACTTTATCAGCTGGAGCAGGGCTTCGTTATCTGCCCCGGTGGGAGGAAGTTCCCCTTCCGCCAGGTAACAGGCGCAGCGCTGCGCCCATGCTGGAAGCACGCAGGGAGGTGTCGGTCACCCAGGGCCAAGGGGCCCCACGCTGGGGTGCTGGGCCAGGCGGCTTGGGGTGGGCTGGGGCCGGGCAGGCTGGCCCAGGGGGGCTTGGTTTCCTTCTGGTCCTACCCCCTGCTTGGACTGGGGGTGCTGGGAGGTGCACCAGTAAGGCTGATGCACCGCCAGGGCTGGCCTGTCCCTGCGTGCGCTTGGAGGTGTCACCTCCGCAGCGGTGCCGTGGTGCAGAGCTGGCTGCAGCGGGCCTGGGTTGGCGGGCAGCCACGTGTGGAGGTGTCCCTGCTGTGGCTGGAGCTGTGCTCGTCCCTCTGTGTCACCCCGCCCTGCCATCTCCCCCAGGTATGCCTTCACCGTCATGGCCAACATCACCGTGTACGGCCTGGCCTGGCTGCTGCTGAACCTGCAGGTGGACCAGCCTGAGCGCACGGAGCACCTGGGCATCCAGGATGTCCCCGTCTTTCGGGTAGGTGGCACGGCTCGGGCCCTGGGGTCCCTCCTTCCCTGCGTGGGATGTGGCTGTACTGGGAGGCATTGGAGGGAGTGAAGTGGCAGCACCCCAGAGCCACCTCCTGCACTGGGCAGGGGCTGCACCAACTCCCCCTGGGTTCTGGGACCCCCTGTTATTCCACCAAACTCCTGGGGCAGGGGGGGGCGAGCAGGCAGAGGGCACCCTGTGCCATGCTCACCCCCTCTCTGCCTCCCCTAGAACCTGTCCCTCATCGTGGTGGGGCTGGGGGCCGTCTTCTCCCTCATCTTCCACCTGGGCACCAAAGAGAAGCCGTACCCGCTGGGCTCCCTGCCGCAGCCCGAGAGCACGCCCCTGCTGCAGAAGGAGCCCACGAGGTGCCCGCGCCCGCTGCTGGCCTGGAAGGACTGGCTGCTGGAGCCTGCCTTCTACCAGGTGGGAGCAGGATGGGCCACGGCCATGCCCCGTCCCCCTCCTCCAGCTGGCACGGGCTGAGGGCCGCTCTCTCCGTCCCCTTGCAGGTGGCGGTGCTCTACATGGCCACCCGGCTCATCGTCAACTTGTCCCAAACCTACATCGCCATGTACCTGACCAACTCGCTGCTGCTGCCCAAGGTGGGCACGGGGCAGGTTCCTGCCCGCACGGCAGGGTCACCCGGGCAGGGGTCCCGGGCGAGTGGTCTGGAGCTGATCTTCTCCCCGTGCTTGTCGCTCGCAGAAATACATCGCCACCATCCCCCTGGTGCTGTATGTCAGCGGCTTCCTGTCCTCCTTCCTCATGAAGCCTGTGAATAAGTGGATAGGTCGGAACGTGAGTCCTGGGGGCTTGGCGAGGTTGGAGTTAGACCCAGGGCGTAACAACCTGCTCCTGAGCTCAGGGGGCTGGGCACCAAAGGCAGGTCCTGAACCCAGCGGGGAGCAGAGCACTGGGCACACCGGAGCCTGGCTGCAGAGCAGGGACCCCTCAGGGATCCTCCTGCTGCAGGAGCGGTCCCACAGGGCAGGGCGAGGGGTGGCATGGGCCGGTCCTGCACATCTGAGGGTGCTGAGGTCTGGGAAAGTGACGCTGGCCCAGGCTCAGCCGGTCCTGAGCAGCCCCGGCAGGGCTGGGAGAGCCCCGAGGAGCCCAGGAGAGGCCGAGGGGGGACTTGGCTGAGCCACCCTGAGCATGCCGGGGGTGTGGGGTCTGCAGCCCCGGCAGACCTGCAGCTTCTGCTCCTGCCACGGGGTGCAGGGCACGGCTGGGGCTGTCCCCATGCCCTGCAAGGAACCTACAGCTCCTCCGGGCACAGGCTGGTCGCTGCAAGGCCCTTGCTGTGTGGGGACAGTGCCCTGAACCCACTGGGAACGAGCCAGGGCCGTCCCTGTGAGCCCAGTGGGATGTCACCGGGGTCTGGGGCAGGGCCAGTGCTGGGTGCTGAGCTCTGCCTTCCCCCCCTGCCCGTCCCCACGCCATCCTGGAGCAGCTGACATATTTCGTGGGCATCCTGGTGATCCTGGCCTTCGCCTCCTGGGTGACCCTGACCAGGACGATGGGAGCGGAGATCTACGGGGCGGCCGCGCTGCTCGGCGCTGGCTCCGCCACCATCCTGGTCACCTCCCTGTCCATGACGGCCGACCTCATCGGCACCAACACGGTACGTGCCCCCCCTGTCCCGGCAGGGCTGGGAGCCCGGCGGGCTGGAGATGCATCCCCGGGCAGGCGGAGAGCCCCGAGCCGTGCCCGGGCCGTGCTGTAATGAGGGCTGTGCCCATGAGAGGGCACACGGCTCTCGCTGCGCTGCGTGGCACCGGCTGAGCCTTCCTCTCCCCTCGCAGCACAGCGGAGCGTTTGTCTACGGGGCCATGAGCTTCACGGACAAGATGGCCAACGGCCTGGCGGTGATGGCGATCCAGAACCTGCACCCCTGCCCGTAAGTGTCCCTGCGGAGCACAAACGACTTAATGACAGCTCCACACAGAGCGCCGGGATCCTGGCAGCAAACAGCCCGTGGGGGCACGCTCTTACATCCCTGCTGAGAGGCACTGGTGGAAACTAACTCCGATTCATCCTAAATCCTTCCTCGCCTTCTCCTCTGCCCTCTGCATCTCAGACTCCTGAAGGGGCTGGGGATCGCTGTGCCCACGCTGCTGCCCTGGGCTCTTCCCCCGTGTCCCAGCCCTGGTGGCGAGGATTTGGGACTGCTTTGGGCAGCGGGAGGGTGGCAGCAGCCCCAGGGTGCTTGGGGAGCGCTCTGGTCCCCGCCACCGAGCTCAGCCGTGTCCTCTCCTTGCAGGACTGAGCTCTGCTGCCCTGCCTGCGTCAGCTTCTACCACTGGGTGATGGTGCTGGTCACCGGGGGCATTGCCATGGCTGCCACCGTGTCCCTGTGCTGCATCATGATCTGGCCCATCCGGGTCCGCTTCCGTGAGTGTGGCTGCAGGGCTGGGGGCACTGGGAAGGGGCAGGCGTGGGGCTGGGGGCACAGGGAGACCCGGGTCCGGTGCCAGCCCCGGCTAAAGCAGAAGTGTCTTTGCAGATGGCCCTGGTTGTGGCAGGCTGCGGGGTGACCCTCCTGGTAGGCAGGCTCAGCTCCTCGTGCTTCTGCTGCTCCTGGCCCCAGAGCTGGGGCTGTGCCCGCTCGCTGTGCCCGTGGCGGGCAGCACCCCCCTGCCCCTGGCCCCGTGGTCAGCGAGGGGTGAAGGGGTGAAGGGGCTGCCGCTCGTGCTGCTGGACAAACACAGGGGCCCGGGTGCCCCTTGCCAGGCTGCTCAGTGTCAGCTCTGTCTCCGTCCTTCGCCTTGTCCAGATTTGTTCCGTGTTGGGTGGGGGGAGAACGCGGAGCCCCCACGGGTGGGGCTCTCGGCAGCGTTGTGCAGGGTCTGTGTGGCCATGGGAAGTGTCAGGGCGCCTCGTGCTGGGGGCTGGAGAGCCCCCGAGGACCGGGCTGGCACTGTGAGGGCTCCTGACCCGTCCCCTCTCGTCCTTGCAGATGATGTCTCCCTGCAGGGCCTGAACGAGGCCGGGATCCCCTACGAGGAAACGGAGAGCGCGGAGGAAAGGAGCCCCAGCAGCATGGTCAACTGAGCCGGGCTCGCGTCCTCGGCCGTGCTGATGGCCGGGCTGTGCCGGGACAGACCCCGAGGACGGGGACGGCGCCAGGACGGGGGAGCTGGGCTCAGGGTGGGGTCCGGGCACTGCCTCGCCTCGGGCACCTCACATAGGACTCGTCACCCCCCCCACTGTGCCGGGGGACGCGGTGAAGGGCGTCCCCCGGCCGTCCCTGGGCGTTTGCACAAGTTGAACACTACGGGCCCGGGGCTGGGCGGCGCAGCCCGGCCCCCGCACTGTGGGACGGGGGGCACCCAGCCCCTGGTTTTAACCTGCTTTTGGAAGGTCAGTGTGTACGCAGAGCACTTTTTAAAAGAAGGAAAAAAACAAAAAACACAACCCACCTCTAAACTTGAATAAAAAAATTAAAAATTAAACTTGAAAAAAAAACACACACAAAAAAAAAAAAAACACCAAAAAAAAACGAAAAAAAAAAAAAAAAAAAAGAACAAAACGTGAGACTTAAAAACATTCTGGAGGAGGGAGCCCCCCCCTTGGTGCCCTGGGGGCAGGGGGGGGTCGGGGGGTTATGGACGCCCCCCCCCCCCCCCCCCCAGTGCCCCGGGGCCGCCCGCAAGATGGCCGCCCTCAACAACGATGGCGGCCACGTCCCGCGCCCGCGAACAAAATGGTGGCGGCGCAGCGGCGCTGGAGCGCGCTGATTGGTTATCGGCGGTGGAGAGCCCACCCCCCAGGGCAGGGCAGCCATTGAGGGCCGGCGGCCGCTGGTGCCAGCGCGGCGGGGAGCGGCCCGCGGGGCTGCCCGGCCTCGACGGGGCGCGGGGCCGCCTGTCCCCAGCGGCCCCCAGCAGTGTCCCCCCCCCCCAGCAGTGTCTCCAAGCACCAGGCCCAGCCCCTCCTCGAGCACCCCCAGTGCCGGTGACCCCAGCAGCTCCCCGGGCTGTGTCCCAGCAGTGCCAGCGATGTGTCCCCGCTCCCAGCCGGGCCCCCCTCGAGGCCGTTCCCTCTGCTGCGGGCAGAGCCCGGCCCCAGCTCCCCACAGCCCCCAGGGAGCGGGGGGGGGCCCCCTGAGCCTGCTGCAGCCCCAGTGCCCCCGGCTCCCTCAGCCGCCCCTCGCAGGACTCGTGTCCCAGCCCCTTCCCCAGCCTCAGCCCGGCTCTGGATGCGCTCCAGGGCCTTCATGTCCTTGTAGTGAGGGGCCCAAAATTGAACTGGGCATGGGGTGTCGGGGGCTTTCACGGGGGCTGGAGCCTGGGGCAGGCGCTGGCTGCAGGCAGGACCCCACAGGACCCCCGGGGACCTGCAGAGGCTGGTGGGGCCATGGGGCCGTGGCTGAGTTGTACAGCAACGAGAGGCCCAGGGACTGGGGCTGGGAGCTGCACACATGGGCCCAGGGCATGGCCAGGGTGTGTGGTGTCCCCATGGTGTCCCCATCGTGTCCCTGTGGTGTCCCTATAGTGTCCCCATGGTGTCCCCGCAGTGTCTCCCACTGCCCCCCGCTGCGTGTCCCCTGCCAGCCCACCCAGCACCCGCTGGGACCCAGCCCCTGGCACCCAGTGCCGTGGGCACACCAGGGCTGTGCGTGCATGGGGCCAGGAGGGCAGCAGGGCCTGGAGGGTGTGCAAGGGGCTGCGTGTGAGCAGGTGTACACGTGTGCAATGTGTGTGTGTGCATGGCCGGCCTGTGCTGTGTGTATGCGAGCATGGGACTGCGCATCGGCGTGTGCCTTGCACACCTGTGCACACCCTTCTCTGCCCTGGGCAGGCCTTGCCTGGAGCACTGGGTCCAGTTCTGGGCTCTCTGGTACGAAAAAGACAGGGATCTCCTGGAAAAGAGGCCAGCGGAGGGCCACAAAGATGAGACGGGGCCTGGAGCATCTTCCCTGGGAGGAGAGACCTGGGTCTGTTCAGCCTTGAGAAGAGAAGGCTGAGATGGGATCTGATCAATGTCTGTAAATACCTGAGGGGTGGCAGACAGGGGGACATGGCCAACCTCTTCTCAGGGCTCTGTGGGGACAGGACAAGGGGCAGTGGCCACCAAATGGAGCCCAGGCAGTTCCGCACCAACACGCCAAAGAAATTCTTCCCGGGGAGGGTGCCGGAGCGCTGGGACAGGCTGCCCAGGGAGGCTGGGGGGGCTCCTTCTCTGCAGATATTCAAGGCCCGTCTGGACGCCTCCCTGGGCAGCCTGCTCTGGGGAACTGCTTTGGCAGAAGGGTTGGACCTGGTGATCTTTCAAGGTCCCTTCCAACCCCTCCAATTCTGTGATTCTGTGATCTGTGCACGTGCACGACGATGACACCTGCACACCCTGCGGGGGCGGTGCCTGGGGTGCTTGGAGCCCTGGGAGGAGCGGTGTGAGCGTGCAGGGGGTGTGCAGGGGGTGTGCACGTGGGGGTGTGGGCACACCAATGACACATGCAAAGTGGGGATGTGCGTTGGGGTGTGTAAGGATGGGGTGGGTGTGAGCACAGGGCGTGCACAGGGCAGCTGGCGATGCTCTTGGTGCTGTACCTGGGGGTCTGTGGGGGTGCAGGGCTGGGGATTGCAGTGCCCCGGTGCTGTGCTGCTGGACCCCGGTGCTGCGCCACCCCCGGGGTTACAACTGCTCCCCGTGGAGCTGTGGGAAAGGCTTTATCAGCACAGGGCAGAGAGCAAGGGCTGGGCGGCCTTGGCACATGCCCCAGTCAGCAGCGGGGAAGGGGCAAGGGATTTCCCTGCTGTCCTTGGAGCGGCCCGGCCCCTGCCCTTGGCCCCGTGTTTACAGCTTGTTTTGGGGTGGCGCGGACACTCCCGGGGCTGCAGAGGGACCGGCAGCTGGCGAGCCCCAGCTCCCTTTGTGGGCTTCATGGCAGCTGTGGGGTGAGGGAGCCCCGTGCCCCTGGCCACCCCCTGTGTGGTGGGCGCTGCGAGGCGCTCCTGCTATTGGGGGCAGGCGGTGGTGGTGGCGGTCACCCCATCAGTGCTGGCACCAGCACGCCCCAGGGACTCTGCATGCAGAGATCTTTGTCCCATGGGCACAGCGGGATGGGCACAGCACTGGGATCCTGCATCCCACCAGCATCCCGCATCCCACCAGGTGCTGGGGGCCCCCATGGCTGTGCCATCGTGGTGACGGTGCCCGTCTGACCCTTCAGAGCCCCCCCCCAGGTGGTAATTGCTCCAGCAGCCCCAACTTGGTATTTGCCCCGACGCCTCCCTGCAAACCTGCTGCAGCCGGTCCCAGCCCCGCCTGCCTGCCCTTCCTCACTGGGAGGAGGAGGAGGAGGAGACGGCGGCTGAGGGCCAGGTCTGGAAGGAGCAAGGAGCGTGCGTGGGAGCCGGGCGAGCGCGGGGCTGCGGCACAGCGGGACGGGACGGGACAGGACGGGACGGGACGGGACGGGAGGGCTCAGCTCTCCCCGCCACCAGGTACCGCCTGGGGTGGGCAGCAGCAGCCCCAGTCCGGGGGTTTTGCTCCGTGCACTTTGATCCAGCACCGGCCCCACGTGTCTGTCTGCTCAGCCAGCTCGGCCAGCCACGGAGGGACCCAGGAGCTGTCACCTGCTGCCAGCTCCTGCCTGCGAGCAGGGCACTGGGGGTGCTGCGGCCACCTCGGGGACCCGGCTGCTGTCCCCAGGGGCGCCGTGGCCATGAGGAGAGCGCGAGGTCGGGGTGCGGCTGTTCCTGGAGCGGGGCAGCGGGGCCATAATTGCCCTGTGGGGCCACGGGGATGGGGACACCAGGGCATGGGGGCCGGCAGGGGCTGGTGGCATCCAGAGATGCCACAAAGGGGGCTTGCAATGCCTGTGATGCCCCCCGAAATGTCCCAGTGAGACCTGGGAGCTAATCAGAGAGGTGTGGGGACCTGCCCTGCTCCTGGAGACAGGCGGTGTCCCCTGCCCTGCCTGGGGACACCGGGGCACAGCCGGACAAGGGGCGCCCCGTGCATCATCAGCTGTAGATAACCGCAGCCAAACCCCCAGCACGGTGCAGGCACGGGGTGGGTTTTGCTCTCCTGGTCCCAGCAGGGACCGTTTGGCCCTCAGCTGCCCCCATCGCCCTGCAGCGTGCTGCACTCCTCCTTCATGTCGGGGAAGCTGAAGAAGAGCAGGAAGGCGGCGCTGGGGGAGAAGCAGTGGCAGAGCCTGGAGGAGAGGGGCAGCGCGGGCACCCAGCCGGGGTCGCACCCCGCACTCACCAGGTGGGTGCTGCTCGTGTCTGCGTGTCCCCATGTCCCGGGGACACCAGGGGACTCAGCTCACCCTGCCTGCTGCTCCCTGCCAGGTCCAAAACCTACGACCCTTCCTGTAAGGAGACGGAGGAGGCTGAAGGGGCTGGAGGCCGGCACGGGTCCCTGTCCTCCTCGGTGAGTCCGGGGGTGCCGGGGTGAGGAGAGGGGACCCCAGCACCACGGGCGCTGTCCTGGTTTGGTGGCTGATGTCAGAGTGGGGACCACGGGGTGCCCACCGTGCCAGGGCTCGGCCCCACATCCCGGCTTCCCCCCCCCTGCAGCTGAACAAGCGCAGCTCCAGCTTCCGCAAAGCCTTCGAGGAGATCGCCGGGCGGGAAGCGCTGCTGGCCTGCTTCTCCTGCGCCTGGCAGCGAGAGGTGCCCTACCATGGCCGCCTCTACGTCTCCTCCGGCCACGTCTGCTTCCACGCCAGCCTCCTGCTCAAGGACATCAAGGTGGGGGCAGCCGCAGGGACGTGGGGCAGCTGTGGGGGTGCGGGACCTGACGCTGTCCCCTCCCCGCAGGCTGTTGTCCCCGTCACGTCCATCTGCGCCCTCAAGAAGACCAACACGGCGCTGCTGGTGCCCAACGCGCTCAGCATCCGCACGGCCGAGGGGGACAAGGTGAGTGCTGGGGGGGCTGGGGGGAGGTCGGGGGGGGGGGGACCTGAGGCTGACCCAGGACACCACCGCCTGTCCCCCCGCCCGCAGTTCCTCTTCGTGTCGCTGCGCCAGCGGGAGGCCACCTTCCAGCTCCTGAGGTCGCTCTGCAAACATCTGCAGGTAGGCGCTGTGCCGGGCAGGGGGCCAGGCTCTGTGCCCCCCCCCAGTGCCCTGCTCCATCTCTCCTTGTCCAGGACAACGGCTGGAGCCCCCTGGCCTCTCCCCTCAACAGCAGCACCGCACAAAGCCTGAAGAAGCCCCTGGTAAGGCTGAGGAAGGGCCGGCAGCAGAGGGAGGCACAGCCGCAGGGATGGATGCGGCGGTGACACCCGGGAAAGGCTTATTTTGGGGGGGGATTAGGGGGATATTGTGAAAACCCCCAGCCCAGGGCAGCACAGGCCCCCTCCCCTGTGTCCCCACGTGGTGCCCTGCGACCAGGGCTTGTCCTCCTGCAGACCTCGAGCCAGTCGGACCTGGAGGAGAGCCCTGCAGAGCCCGACAGCCTCCTGGAGCCGCCGGGTGAGCGGCCGCCCCCACACCCCGACAGGCCCTCGCAGCCCCCCTCGGGCACCCAAACTGCCTCTCCTGGGCCACCGGGGAGCGCAGGGGCCTCTCGGGGACCCCAGGGCCCCCACCTGCACCCCAGGCGCTCAACGACCATCTCCCGGTTGGGTGCAGAGGAGGCGAGCCAAGCCAAGGAGGAGGCAGCAGCGACAGCAGAGGACGCAGCGGCTGCAGGCGGAGGTGAGCGGGGCCCTCGGCGGAGCCGTGGCCGGAGCAGGGCCCTGGCACTGCCCAGATTTGGCCACAGCGCTCCAGGAACGTCCCTGACACCTCCTTGTCCTAGCAGGGGACCCCAGCCCAGCGCCCCGCACCCGAACTGCTGCGCCACCGAGCCCCTTCAGCACCATCATCCTCATCTACCTGCTACTGTGAGTCCTGGGGCAGGGCCCCCCCCCCCTGCACTCCCCCAGCCCTGGTGGCCCCCAGCTGCCACCTCCCGGCTCTGACACCGCCCTGTCCCCAGGATGGTGGCCCTGCTGCTGACCTCGGGGTACATCGGGCTGCGCATCCTGCAGCTGGAGCAGCAGCTGGCGGCCGCGGGGGCTTGGCCAGACCTGGACCTGTTGCACCAGTGAGGGGGGGGGGGGGGCAGCAGCCCCTCCATCTCCATGGCACAACGGGAACCCCCTCACCCTGCCTCCCCCAGGAGGGGCAAGGAGACGTGAGGCCAGCAGGGACCTGGTCGTCACCAGCAGGGGTTGGGGGTGGCTCCAAGCCTGAGCGCCTTCCAGCCCCCCCCAAGGAGCCCCCGCAGGCCGTGGGGCTCCATCTCACTGCCCCCACCTCACCCCCCCCCCCCCCCGAGCTCCCTGCGTGGGGGCAGGGGCAGTGGCCTGGGGGGCAGAGAGGACCCAGGGGGTGGCTGGAGTCAGCTCCCCCCCCCCCCCATGGGGGGCCATTGCAGGGCTGATGGGGATAAAGGCACCGAGCTATTTAATTAATAAAGAGGCGAGGGGGTGCTGCCTGTGCCACAGGACCCCCCCTCACCCCACCCTGTGCCAAGGCTGCCTCATTCCTTGGGATGGGCGCAGGGAGGCTGCAAGGCTCCCCTAACCCCGGGGAGGCGTTTTGGGGTGGGGGAGGGCAGCATCCAGCACTGAGCCCCAGGCCTGGCCCCGACGACCCCCACTCAGCCCCCCCGTCCCCAAAAAGAGCCAGGAGAGCCGCAGGAGCTGTGCCCTTTACTGGCGGGTGGAGGGCTGGTGCTGGAGGAGCCTCCAGGTGTGGATGTCACGGGTGGTGCCGGGGGGGCGGCAGGAGGACAGCAGGGGGACGTACCCCGGGCTGCCCCCCAGCGCCCTGGGGCTCTGGCTGCGGGTGGCAACTGTGGAGAGGAGGGGACAGGGGTGAGGAGGGGGCTCTGGGAGGTGTCCCCCCCCCCCAGCTGCCCCTGTGGCTCTTACCGTACTCCTTGCCCAGGATGGGTCGCTCCTGCCAGAGGAAGGCTCCCCAGCGGGTGCAGGGTCCGGGGTAGGCAGCGGGGACGATGGGGTCCCACCACGCCACCTCCCGCAGGTGCTGGGCGTAAACTGGGGGGGGGAGCAGAGCTGGGACCAGGCAGCAGGACCCCCACCCTGCAGCAGGACCCCCACAGCACCCCCAGGAGCCCACTCCCATCCCTTTTCCTCCCCCCCTCACGCTCCTGGGTCACCCCCCAGCTTCTCCCTCCCCCACCAGCACCCCCCAGGTGTCCCCCCCCCCCAACCCCAGCTCCATACCCGGGGGCAGGGGCTCCAGCTCACGGGGGACGTGGGCGCGCTGCCAGCGGTGCCGGGCGATGCCGCGGGTGAGGCTGTACCAGGGGTCCCCCGGCGCGTCCCAGCCGCTCAGCCCCGTGGCCCAGCTCTGCCCCGCGGCGTCCCAGCCCATGGGGGTGGTCTTCCAGCGCACGGCCTGCCTCAGCACGGGGGCCTGGCGGGGTCCCCGCAGCGTCACATATTGGTCACTGTGGGCAGCAAGGGAAGGGGGGCATCAGGGCTTTGTGCCCCCACCTGCATGGCCCCTACAGGGGGTCCCACAAGGCGAGGGGCTCACCTGTAGAGGGGCAGGGGGAAATCGGTCTCGAGGGTGCTCTGCGGTACCCAGGGTCTGTGCGCCCCCAGCTCCATGCCTGGCGCTAGGCGAGGCCGCAGTGGTGCTGGAATCAGCACCAAGCAACGGGGGGCTGGGGTGGGGCAGGGGGGCAGAGGCACCTTCGCTCCCTTTGTGCCCTGCAGGGGAAGGGCCGGGGCTGCTCCTTGCTGCGGGGCCAGCCCCAGGAGAGCAAAGAGGGGTGGCAGGAGCTGGGCAGCAGCCACGGAGCAGAGACCTGTGAAAAACCAGCCGGAGGCACAGAGACGTAAATTCACGATGTGTTTAATGCCAGTTCGAACGCTTTACATGGAAAAGTTACAACGCTCTATATTTTTTTTCCACCATGTGATGCTTTATACACAACAACGCCACAAGGTCGCAGACTCGGGGAGGACCCCTCGGCTCAGCCCGCCCGCGCAGCTCAGCACTTGCAGATCCCACACACACACAGCACAAGCACGCAGGCTCTGCTCTTTTGCCCACGGGACACCCTCAGCACGCCCCAGCCAGCCGCCGGTGTCACGCACAAAGCCACCAGCACCCCTCACGCACACCAGGCAGAGCAAGAGGCGCAGGTTGGGAGCAGAGGGGCACGGCTGGAAGCAGGAGCACAGGCAGCAACGAGCAGCAGCGGTGGCCCAAGGGCTGTGTGTGCTGAGCACACTGCCCCCTCCCCAGGGGGGGGACACTGACACCATGCAGTGACCACCAGCAGCAGTGTGGGAGCCCCCAGAAAGCCCCATGCTCACCCAGTGCCACCCCCGGGCACAAACCAGTGAGCCCTCCCAGCTCTGACACCTCTCCGATGCCCCCACCCCATCGCTGATTGCCTCCCGGAGGATCCGCAGCCCCAACAGCCCCATCCCCAGGTGCAGCTGCTCCCCAGGTGACAACCCACAGACACCCGTGACATCCACGTCCTGCTGCAGGTGGCCTCGAGCCACTTGCCAGCTTATTAGTGACCTGACTTCAGTAACAGCTCCTCGGTGATCTGCAGTGGGCCCTCCACACCGTGACATTGAACAGTGCCAGTGAACGTACAACAAGCAGCAGGAAAGGCAGCAGGAGGCCAGCAGACAGGTTTGAAAACCAAGCCCCACGCTCCTGCTGCGAGAACCACCATGTAGTCGTGCTGAGAAATTACACAGAAATTACATTTTGGGGGGCAGGTGAGGCAGTCGGATGCGATGGTGGCTTTGGAGGGTCGGTGCCGGTGGGAGCCAAGCCCCTGGGTACCTGTGACGTGTGGAGGTAGCACGAGGCATGGGTGAGCCTGATCCGGGCACTGGCACACGTGGTGAAGGCTGCAGTGAGCAGAGCTGCACCTCCCTGCTGTACCAGCCTCCCTCTGCCTCATCCGCTCACCCCAAGGGTACTGGTGGCACTGGGGAGGGGCAGGCGTTCCCCTACCGCTACCCCTAGAGTCTGGATTCAGGGAAAACGAAAGTACTGCCTATACACTACAGAGAACAGGGCAAGGTCTATATACACAGCCGGGAAAACCCAAGTGAGAACAGGAAACAGCACGCACATCCCAGGGCACGAGAGAGGGCACGAGGCAGGCAGGAGCCAGGTGCACAGCAGGAAGCATTGGCACATGTACAAGGTAAGACAGGAACAGGCTGCTGCAAGCGTAACAGCTTCTCCTTAAATTAAAAGCAACACATACACACAAGTGCTTTGCATCACATCCCACGGCACTCATCACACAGGCTCCAAACACACAAGCAGGCACTCTTCCCATACAACTTAAAAAAAAAAAAAAAACACAACAAAAAAACAGGTCCCTGGCATTGACTTGGAGATAAAAAAAAAAAAAAAAAGCAACGCTTCTTCCTTGCCTTAGAAAAAGAAACCCCACTTGCCCAGACGCGGTGTTTCCCCCCTTCCAGCCAGAAGAGGCCATGCTCTCTCTGAAAAAGATCCACAGGAGTTGTTTTGTTTCTCAAGCACATCTCAACTGCTTTTGTCCTCAAGAAGACTCCAGAGCAACCAGCCGCCACAAAGGGCACTGTGGGAAGCTCCACATGCATGTTTGTTGTTTCTTTGTTTTGTTTTTTAAAGCCATTGTTTTCCCTCGGTGTTAACTAAAAGAATCAGCATAAAACATGCAATAGCAATTTTAAATTTCTTTGAACGCATTCCCTCCGAGGTGGAGCCTCTTTAAAGTCTCCTCTAAAGTTCAGAGCCCCAAGATGCATGTTTGAAGGCAGCTGGTAAGCATGCCAAAAATCAAGCTGTCTTGCAAGAACGGCAAGTACCGCAGTACCTGCTTTATCTGGAAAAAAATAAGCAGTTCTCCATTTTTTTTTCATGTAATGGGGATCCCAGGCTCTAAACAATGCCCTTAGATATCAGAGAGGCTAACGCCCCGCCTAGAGCCTGGTCCCCACGCCCCAGTTGCATTGAACAAGCCTGGCTGGCTCCTACCTCCAAAATGTCCATCCTAGGTTAGAGGGACCCGCAGCAGCACGTGAAGCCCCTTCCCACAGAGGCGAGGATGCTCTCGTCTCTCCTAAGAGCAGACAACACAGCAGTTGGGATGGCCTTGGTCCGGTCTCGGTGGTCCACGTAAACAGATTTTCTCCAGTACAGAGTGAGGGTTGGAGGGTGCTGGTTCAGCATTGCTCTCGTACGCGTTCCCCTTTCCGAAGGACGAATCCATAAACCTTTGGCAGTTCCCTCCCCTCCCCAACCCCATCCCAAATACTGCCCGGCGTGGTTCACAAGCACATATTTAATTAGCATCTGTTGGGTCCATCCTCCAGTCCCACTGGCACTCCCTCCCCTTCTGGCTGATCGTTTGGGGTTCCATGCACACCAAGGTAGTGGTTTGATCCTGGTACGGCAGGCTGTAGTCTCTTGGATTGCAGTACGTGGGGTTTACCGTATCCTGGTGAAGAGGTTGAGAACGGATACAGACTCCTGCAAAGAAGAGGCAAAGCAGGTACTTCAGCACTTAAAAGCTTTGCTGCAGTGTTATTCCACGTGACTTTTATTTTTTTAATTAAAAAACACTGGTGAGGTCTCTCCAGCTCAGGGCACTGATCTGGGCTAAACATTCAAAGTCCAATGCCATAAATATTCCCATGTGTTTTTTTTCCAGTTGATAAGGAGGCGTGTGGCAGGCAAGCATGCCATTCCCACCGCTCTGTGGGAAGCTGCACCCTAGAGCCAGGGTGCACCCAGCTGCCTGCAACGCCCGCTCCCCACAGCTCATTCCCTGAGCTCTCACTGCCATTCTCCACTGCCTCCGCGAGACACTCAGAAAAGCTCCCGAAGCATCTGGCACAGCCTGCTCTGGGCGATGGCACGTTGTTAGTGGCAGCACCACGATCCCATTTCCACCCCAGCCACCACTTGAAGCGCTTACGCAAGGAGCTAGAGGGTAATCAAGTCCGAGGGCACGGCCAGTTGATAGCACGCGAGCACGGAATAGGGGCTGGAGGTGAGCTCCCTGCAATGCTGCTGCGTTCAGCAGCTCCCTAACAGCCAGCATGACGTCCTGTCACACTGCCTTGGGTGTGCAGAGGCAACCTTTTATTGCATGTGACTGCAAACCCTTTTCTACTGCAGTCAAGTTTAACCCTTCACTGCATCCTCCCCTCAGCCTACAGGATAAGGTAACGAAGCCAGAGGCAAGGCCAAAGAACAGAGGGAACTGACTGAATCCCCTGCCGAAGGCTGAGCCCGCTGCAGGACACGGCTGCAGCCAGCTGCTCAGCTCATCCTTACCTTTGTCGAGCGAGTTTTACTGAAGACGTTCCAGAACCGCAAGGTTTCATCTCCAGCTCCGGTAACTATGGCCTCCCCATCAGGGGACATTGCCTGAGGCAGGAGAGAGCAGCCTTTAGGATCTGTTACATTTTTGAGGTTGAAAACAAGTCCTCATTGGAATGCATCTGAGGTATTCTACTCCCCTTCCTACTTGGCTGGCGGTGAGACACCAAACTACCACCTCTGCTTTCATGTGCCTCACTCAGCCTCACTAGGTGCCAACTCGAGCACTTGCATCTTACTTACGCAGCCAGAGAACACATGGGTGGAATTATCGTAAAAACGATTCCTGTGTTAAGAAATCCATGCCAGTTGTAATTGAGGCTATTCCTCCCCGGATTATAAATGTGTGCTAAGGCAGGAAGTGTGATAGAGCTGGCAAATGCCAGTCATTAGTCACTGCAGTTGGAACCTACCCCACAAAACACTATCAGCCTATTTATCAAGTTAAGAATCCACTGAAAGCCCTATGTAACATTAATGAAGCAGGTAAGAAATCAAAGGGATTAGGTGCATCAGACGTTTTAATACGGAATTAGGAGGACTGAAGGCACCAAATTCTTCCCCTGCTTGCAGTTACCAACTAAACAGCGACGAAGTCTTCAGGGAACAAGAAGACATTCTCGTGCTTCCTCAGAAGGGTTTTGGCAAGCTTTGCTATTCATTAATAAAGCCTCACATTTCCATAGCAGCAAATCAAAGTATCCCTTGCAGGCAAGGAAACCAGATACAGAGCTTTTTTCTTTGCTCGCAGGGCAGCATTCACATCTCCACCAAGAGGAGAGGCTGCTCACAGCGCCACTGGCGCTGCAGCTTCAGGTCTCATCCCAGCACACGCGCAGACAGTTAAGTAGGCAGAAGGTTTCAGAGACAAGGCGGGTGCTTACCAGATATAAGACTCTGTACGAGTGCCCTGTCAGCTTTGCTACTTGAGTTAATGAGGGGTATTTCCAGACGAGGATCTGGTTCTGCGAGTATCCATGGGTACTCACCTGAAAATGGAGAGGGAAATGAGTTACGCTCCTGAAGGCAGGAGAGCTCAGCAGCAGCACTGCACGGGGGGGAACTTACTAGCTCGTTGGCGTGCTTTGACCAGGCCAGGTTGCACACCTGTGACCCGGTGTCAATGCACTGCAGGGGCTGCCCCGTCAGCGTGTTCCAGAAGCGGATGCAGCGGTCGGCTGTCCCGCCGCCAGAGGCGAGGAGGCCGTGCTGGTGCGGAGACCAGGCGATGGCTTTTACTGCTGCGAGATGCTCTGTGTATTGTTGGACAGGACTCAGGCTGGAGTGATTCCAGACAAGGAGCTGGCAGAGAGGAAAGACGTGATCGAACTTGCACTGCAGTCACGTGTCCGCAACACCCACAAACCACGATGTCGCACTGGGATTGACGAGGGTGGTTGGGCAACGCGATGATTTCCCACAGCTCTGCCCAAGCACATGTGGCTCAGCTATTTCAGCCCTGCAGCCTGTCCCACCCTGCCACCACGCTCAGCTGAGGAGCCACTTCACCACTGGGTCACAAGGAAGTCCTTCAGTTAAGCTTGTAAAGCCAGCAGCACGGTGTCACCGAATGCCAGCTCAAAGCCCCCTTTTGTCTTTGTGGCTGTACTTGCCCAGCACACGTCAGGAAGCACGTGCAAGCTCATTACAAGATATTCTGAGGAAGAACTTTGTTCAACCGTGCTGTCACACATACACTGGGCAAATTCACTACCTAGCAACCCGCTCCAAAGGGCTCTGAACACTTTCTTCAGAACAGATGCTTCTTCCATATGGTGTTCAGTGAACTACAAGTCTGTGCTATAGGTATTAAAACTTATATAGCTTCTAAACTCGGTTTCCTTCCACATACATAAACATTATTGCAACAAACTTGAGACTACACGCTACCTAAACCAAGCCAGGAAGTACAGCTTCGCAGTAGCTTTATTGAACTCAAAACCCTGAGTCAAGCTATAGATTTAATTAGCCAAATAGAGAAGCAAAATCAAATTTGCCTCTTTAATTTTATTACAGAGAGGAGACTGAGTAGAAGCTTAGCATGATTTATCGTTGGGCACAGTCCAACAACTGAAACAAAAGCCCCTTCACAGAGCAGATGAATATCCTCGGAGAAAGGGGACCTGACATTCCCTGCGAAGATCTAGAGATGCCGAGCCTCATGGGACCAGCTGTAAGTACTGTACCTTGTTATCATTTCCCCCAGAGGCCAGGAGCTGGTGGTCCGTAGACCATTTGAGCCCACAGACCTCCTGCCTGTGGCCCTGGAGCCGCCGCTCTGACTGCAGGGGCGGGGTGCGGATGTCCCTCTGAAGGATCATTCTGTCTCGGCTCCCAGAAGACAGCTGGTCCGCGTTCCACGCCAAGGCACCTGTAACACGGGCAGAGAGCAACAGCCTAAGGGCACGTTTTGGGAGCCTTGCAGGAGCATACAGGCAGCACACAGCCACCAGAACTGCAGGAGGTTTAAAAAAAAAAAAATCAATGCTCTTTTATATACCCTGCCTAGAGTCTTAAAATGGCATACGAAGATATCTTCAGTAAGCTTGCTGCAGGCAAATCTATCACTAACCCCATTTCACTCAGCAGTGAAGCACAGAAACAGAACTCAAAAGCTATCTTGACTCCCCAGATCTCACCTCAGAATTCAGATTCACAACAGCTCTGACCAAAAATCTACCAAGAAAAAAAAAACAGAAGAGCAGTCCCTGAAGCATAAGGGAACTGGAAATCTCAGTGTAAAGCTGCCTGCAGGGCTGAAACCGGAAGCCAGTGGCAGTGAGAAAGTGTTGTAACCAAACCTAAAATGCCTCAGCAGACATGGAGGAAACACCTGCTGCAGTAGTCACTCACACACCACCACACCCAAGATCAGAACACCACAATTACTCGGTGGCAATGCTTTAAAGGCAGCTCAGGACACAGCAGGGCATAAATATCAATTCTGGTACTGTTTGAGTTCAAGGAAAAAAGTAAAAAAAAAAAAGCAAGAAACAAAACATGCGAAAACTCCACCTCCTTACCAACTCTGGCCGTGTGCCCCTCTAGCATGGAGAGCTTTTTTCCTGCAGCTGCATCCCAGATCTGTACAAAGCCCTTGTGCGTGCCAACGGCTACCAAGTTCCCCTAGACAAACAGAAAACCATGATCAGTAAAGCCAGTAAGTACAGAGAGAAATAAAACAAAAAGCTAGATGCTGAAAAGACTCCGGATAAATCCCACAAGATGGAAAGCATCCAGAGGTCATCCATCTTGCATCTTTTCCCTACTGAAGAAAGGAGCCAAGCCGCCTGGCTGAAACATACTTAGAACCAGGTCACTTCTCCAGCTCTTGACAATAAAACTTTTTTTTCCCCCTCCCATACCTCTTAGCGAGTGTCTCCAGAGTGTCAAGATACAAGAGGTTACTCTCTATCCCCTCTCATTTAGCAGAGAGGAAAAACACATTTGATGAACAGCATTCAGGAGGGAGTTTGGGAGAATACAGAAAACTAATCCATGATTTTAGAGCTTGCAGTGAAGGGCAATAAAGCTACAGTGATAGCATTTGAACTGCATTTCACTTGTCACTGTCAGTGTTATACTGACCCGTTCTGACCAGCCCACAGACGTTACAGAATCTCCTTCCACAGACAGATCGCACAGTCGGGTTACCTTGGGAATAAGACAATGAAAGATACTTGTTATTGTCATGCTGCATTAGCTACCTCCTGGTTTGGGACAGAGCATTACAAGCATTGAATCCCTCCCACAGCACGTTCCATAGCTCTGAAAGGTGCTGCAGCTGGAAAACAGCCACAGCAGCAGGTACATCACTCTCCAGACACTGGTCACCATTTACCTGGCTCGTACAAGCACTCCACAGGTAAACACATGTGCCAAGGCCAACGCTGAGGACGTTGAGAGAGGACCAGTCCACCAGGTTCAGGTAGAAGTCATCCTGCAGTTCTGGGGCATCCAGCACTTTGAAAGGAATCTTTGAGATTTTCCGAGTTGGTTTTCGGGGTGATCGTAGCAGCTTCTGACTGTTTACAACAAGAGACACAGAAACAACTACAGAGTATCACACAGCACAGCAGATGGCACAGACAGATGCAGCCAGCCTTTAGAGCATACCTGCATTACTATAGAGATACACAAAGAGGCAGCAAAATGCTTTCCAGCACGTTAGAGGGAATTAGTCTCTGGTGCTATAAAGGAGCTGGGGAGCAAAACGACAAGCTGACTGCTGAGGGCTGGTCAGGACACATTCGGTATTAAGCAGTTTGGGTGTACTCAGGAATCCTTAGGGAACCTACTTATTACCTTCTCGGACTTCCCAAACCAATTCATGTGGCTATTTTGGTTGCCTTAAAGAGACACCCTGGAGAACACCACTGAAACACCTCACTGAAACCTGTTTCAACACTCCCCTACGGTAGAAGTCTGTGGAGAATCAGTATTACCTTTTGTTGCTGACAGGAGACAAGGAATACGGCGAGACCTCGTTACCATCATCTGGACTGGAACGTTTTGTGCTGAGTGAATACTGCAGAAAGAAAACACACCCAGTAAGAACACCACCATGCCCAAGACTGATGTAGATCACTCACACAGGCACCAGTGCCCAGCTAGCTCCAACACCCACTGTCAGTTTTCCAGCCTTTTCAGTTCCTATTTTTTCCAGGTGTTCCAGGACCATACAAAAACTTCCACTGATGACCAAAACCTTGATTTGGTCATTTACCCAGTCTTAAGAGTGTCCAAAAAAGCTTTGTTCCCACCCAGCTTCCTTGCCAATACAGAAATAGGAAGCACATAGCCTGCTGCAGATACTTACGTTCTCTTTATAGGCCACCAAGTTTTCTCCTCAACTTATATCAGTAAGGTCTTAACACTACTCTCTTGCATGAGCAACTCGACAGAACCACGTGCTTTGCTCTCACGACACGAGACACACAAACTCCCTTTGTTTTAAATGCAAACCAACTTACAGTGAAGAGGGACTTCTTCTCTGGAGTGGATGGCTGCAACCTCCTGTCTTCTGTCTGTGGGTCCTGCACTTTCTCGATCCCTGCTCCTAAGAGTTCATTCTTCAGCAGGGCGGAGTAAGCAAGGCCATCTGTGAACCCAAACGAGTGCTTAGGCAGGGAATTCTGAAGCCACAAGCACCTCTGCAGGGACCGACTGGGCCACAGCCGCCTGACTTCTACACAAACAGGGCCTCCTCATAAGCCTGGGACTCCAGCTCAGAATTTAGATTAGCAGCAAGCTTCCCCTCCTTCCACTCCATCAGGAAATTACTTCCATGACTCAATAAATCAAGAGACACAAACAGGCCCTTGCTTCCCAGATGCTCATCAGCAGCCCATTGAGGTGACCAGGTGTTCACTCTTGTGACACATGCACAGAACACCAGCGAGGCTTTTTGCTTAAGATAAGCACAAAAGTGCCAGTGTTCACTTAATTCCAAACTTGGCATCAATTTGGAATAAAAGCCGTAGCCAAGGCTACAAGCAGCAGAAAGATGGTCTCACCTTTGCCATTGTCTGATGTAGCATCCTTTGCTTTTCTGTTTTGACTTGGTGATTTTTCATTTTCCTGAAAGGGGAAAAAAAAAAAAAAAAAAACACACCATCACCATACAGAACCATCACAGGGTATGTAAAACAGCAAACAAAGAAGTCTGCAAACAGGCTGCACCTGTGGGCCAGGAGGTACACATTCAAAGGAACTCTTTAAGGGCAGCAGCAGACCATGGCTCAGAAGATAAGCACAGCAATTCTGCCAGCCAAAATGAAACGGGCCATTTCCTCACTTCAAAGGCTTTGAGCTGCAGGAGAAGGGAGCAAAACTCACATTTATTCTGTGGAAGTTGATGCTCCAGTTGGCCCCAGCTCTTGAGGGAATGAATCTGTCTCCGTGCTTACTCGGAGAAGACATCGGAGAATTGGAAGGCGTCAGGGTTCTTCTCATCTCTGCTACCTGGATTAAAGATTTAGACACATGCAAGAACAAGTGTTGATCCCAGCAGGGGGTCTGACAAACATCAAAGGGGGCTTGTCAAAGCTAAATATGCCAAAATAGAAGAGCAAAAACACCAGTTTATCCCCTTAACAGAATGAGTACACACACCCACTCCAGCTGTCACAGGAACATCTGTCAAGAGAAGCAATTAAGCAGCGGCTTTCTCACTGCCCCTTTTCAGGCTGATGCTGTCAAGGCAAACGCAGGGAAGGTGAGCGCGGGGCAGAAAGCTGGCTGGGTGTGCTGCACATTCCTCAAGCGTGATCACATTCTTGTTCATACAGCAACAGGTAGTGGAGAGGACCCCAGCTCAGAGGATGGCTAGTTTCTCCAGCCCATCAAGCTCCCTCTGAATGCAGGAAATTCATCTGTCCCAGGTATTTTAACAACTCTCCCACTACGGCATCACCCAGGAACTCGGGGATCACGCACCGCCTCCCTCTGCTCCCCAGTGAAGGTGCTCAGTAGCACTCAGCCCACAGGTTGGTCACTAGCCAGGTGGACTCCTGACAATAATTCTGAGCCCAGCTCGATTACCTCCCCTCCTGCAGACCACCCACCTTCAATTCTGCTCGGGGAGTATTACAGGAGACTGCGTCAAAAGCCTCGCTGAAGTCAGCGCAGACGGCGTGTGCTCCCCCTCCTCCCATCCATCACGGTAAATCGTGCCTTCACAGAAGGCTCGCAGGTTGGTCAGGCATGATTTGCCCTCGGTAAGTTTGTGCTGACTGCTTTCAAACACATTTGGGTCCCTCATGTCTGGAAACGGTTTCCAGAAGGATTTGCTCCACAGCTTTCTCAGGGACAGAAATGCACTACCACCTCCCCTGCTCTTGAACTTCTTCTCTAGCTCTTCAGCCTCCAGTCCTAGTGCTCTTTTGTTTGTTAGTCCTCAACCTTTTCACACCCTGCATGGGATTCCTGAGATTATTTAGTAAAAGGCATCACTGCACTACATAAACACACCTTAACTCACTTTTGCAACCTGAACTGAGCTTATCTACATGGAAGCACTGTGAGAGTGGGGTTATTTGGTTACTCCTAGAACAGCTCAGGAGCTCTCATCTGGTCACAGCCCCCCAAAGGACACAGGTCCCCACATCTTTCAAAGCTCAGCTGAAAACAGTCACAGGCAACACAGACGAGCACTTCACTTTCAGGCTCAGATCCCTTGGTGCAGACCATCCCTACTTACACAAGGCATCGTGTTTTCATTCTGGATGTTGATTTGGCGTAGGAGACGTCTCTCATAATCCTGGTCCATGGTGGAACGGATGGGGGTTGGGGAGTTCAGCAGCCTCAGGAATTTATGTTCATGAAGCCCAATCAGTAATTAGTCTGCTGCAACAGATGGGGGGGGGAGAACACAACCAAAATATTACACCTCTTCACGTAGAAGCAGCCTCCAGCATCCCTCGAGACTCTTCTTTAAACCAGAGACCACTTTCCCCCTCCACGGCAGCGTTATCAGCCTGGTGTGATAACGCCCAGCGCAAGGTTGCTGATGGAAGTGTTTTCCCGTACTGCTGCCCTTGGGTGCTAATTCACACGAGCAGGCAGTCAGCATTTCACAGCTGATAGGAGCGAAGTGTGCAACAGCCCGAGAGCAGGCTGAGACCTCAGGCTCACCACCTGCAGCACAGCTCTGCGAGCCCCAGGTACGCGGGGATGGGATGCCCACAGCCCAGAGGCACACACCTCTGTGCCAGCGTGGGTATTTCACCCACAGCACGCATATGGCAGCTTTTTAGTGCCCTGAGCTGCAGGAACACGGGCAGCTCTGGACTGGGGAGCCCCCTGAGGAAGCGTTCGGTCTCTGACACCCGTGCTGCCCCAAATCTGCCCCCGTGCTAGCATAAAGCCAGCCCAGCTGCACGGTGAGGCTGTGCTGCAACCCACGTGTCACTCGAATGCCCGTTTTATGAGAGGGCTGCTTCATTGCCTAGGATTGGCTAAGTTACAGCACGCATCAATAAAGGATAACAACCATTTCCAGGAGGGTGCGGAGCTGCAGCCCTGCCTGCGCCCAGCCTCCCCAGCAGCCGTGCCAGGCTCCTCTCCCAGCCCAAGATAAACACCTCCAGAGGGAAAGGTGGAACCAACGCACGCCACGCAGAGCCCTGCAACGCGGAGGCACCTGGAAGCTCTGCAGAAGGTGAAGGGATTTTCAGTGACTGCTGCTGTATAAACATTCCCTGTGGCTGGCTGGAGGCCCAGTTCCACAAATGGTGCTGCCTCAAGACACGGATTTGGGAGCAGGAGGGCTGGGCAGAGCTGGGCCCTGCTCCCTGCCCCCAGGAGCAGACGCTCGCCGAGCACCGCGGGTGCCCGCCAGGTGAGGACAGCAGCAGCCCGGTGAGACGTGGCCAGGAGTGGCAGCGTGCTGCAAACCGACGGGGAAGCATGAGGACAGCGGCCGGACTCTGGACTAGCAGCCTCTCAGCCAGCACAGCCACTGCCCGGGCACCCAGGAGCTTTGGTAGTGCTGGAACTTGGACTCCTCACAGCCACCCGAACGCCGCCGTGTTCCTGGCCACGAAGCACGGCAGCACTGCCACAGGAGCAGCCCCGAAATAGCGGCTGCCAAGCTGCTTCCGAGTACACCTGCTTACCTCTGCCACCTCCTCCCCCGGGCTCTCTCCTTTTTTAACGTAACACATTTCTCACATATGTTCCCTCAGAGGAAAGGCAGGAGAACGCCACCAGATTTAGCAGTCAGCAGCTCCCACCAAACACAGCGGAGAGGCAGAGATGGCGTTACTGTGAGTGAGCACCTCAAGTTTTATTATTAAACCCTTTGTTAATAATATCAAAAAGAAGTCTCAGCACATCCCACGTCAAACACTTCCTCCTGTTTTTTACTTTCCTTACCGCCACCTTTCCTACTCAATCTCCCAAACCTTTCTCCGAGGCCAGCAGGACCTCTCAAACCCAGCGCTCCCACAAGATGTATTTTTTACACCATGAGTAAGAAAAACCAGCTCGCAGAGCCCACACGGGGTGCGTGATCAGATGGGGACACCGCACATCTGAAGCATCTTCCCAGAAGGGCTCCACGCAGCGCTCGTGAGAGATGCAGGCCTGCAGGAACACGACGTTTTTAGCTCTGCACAGCCAACACGTTCACTTTTGGAGCTTTCCACTGGGGTTCCAGACTGGACAAATTTAGAGCACGGCTCCTAGTCAGAAACACAGCACGTGCAGAACGAGCACAGGCAGGGCACAGCGGCACCGAGTGGCCCCACGCCACCCTTGGGGTGCGGTGACAAAGCCCACGTAACGCACGCTGCACGTGAACTGCCAGACTGCATCTCCTCCCCTTCACCCTCTCTAAATCTGGGATTTGGATAAATTTTGGATTCCAAGCCCACGTCGGTCACCTCGACCTCAGCACCCCGCTGCAAGGCCCCAGCAGGCACAGGCCATGTCCACACGGAGGAACAGCTCTGCAGAAACGCCTGCGCTCCGCTCGCTGCCAGCCCTGGCGCTCTGCGTGCCGGCTCATTAAAAACAGACCCGTAGCGAGGGAAAAAACACGCAGGCTGGGTCAACACCAAGAACAGGGCGCACTTGTTCAGCGCCACGGCTTCACCCAGCAGCATTGTTCTGAGCGACGTTAACCGGGACACAACCAGCCAGCTCATGGGTAAGGTGGAAGGAGCCTGGAGAAAATACTAAAACTTGGTCAGGAAACCCAAATCCTTCTTGAAAATAGCCCCCACCTGCCTTCTCCAGGCTTCAGCTGGTAACAAAGCAGGATCCCAACCTGAGTACAGAGCACCTGGTTCCTCAGGATTTTGTATTTCTGACAGAAATAAGCCTGCAGGCACATCCCCCAGTTCTCAGGCACAGCCTTTCTCACAGCTTTAAGGGAAATTGAAGAGCCTCCCGCAGGCAGATTTAGTTACCGAGAGCCTGCCCAGGCCCGGCGATGCTGCCTCCTCTCTGGGCCAGCATTTAATGGCACCAGCGTGAAGGGAAAAATATTTCGTTATTCCAGTGATGAATATTTAAAAGCTCTCGGGAAGCCCCCAGAATTTACCAAGGGGACGCAGTAAGCGAGCGCATCGGCCTCTAAGTCACGAACAGCGGGGCTGGAAATCAAAGCCAGATGTCCTGCTTCCCCGCAGCCAGCGCTCGCTCTTCCCGAGATTTCTCCCAGCCCATCACCAGGCAACACTCGCAGAGCTGGGACTTGGCGCCGGCCTCAGCTGCCAACGAACGTGGGACTTGTCTGGCACGGGGAGACGGGCACCTCCGCCGTGCCACACGCTCAGCTGGGTGGGTGAAACCTCCCAAAACGCCCCAAAACAGGGCGCTCGCTGCTGCGCCGGGCAGCTCCGCCACGCAGGCTGGAGGAGTGTTTGAGCTGTTGGGGGTTCTTTTAGCTCCCAGAGCTCTGGGCATGCTGAGGGCAGAGGTTTTTGGTGATGGTCAGGCCTGCTGGAAGGCAGGCAGGGTGCTGGAGCTGCCCTCACAGCCCCAGAGCTGGTGCTGGTGGCAGGCTGAAGCAGAGCTCCTCCGCGCTCAACCCGGAGCAGCACCATCACGTTTTGTGTGCACACCGTGCCAAACAAACACTTCAAAATAACGAGCTTCTATTTAAAAGCAGCAGTGACACAAAAAAACAGAGCCTTGTGCAGGGTTCACCAACGTCTCCTCACTGGTAAAGCCCCAACGGAGCTACTGCGAGAGCCTCAAGTCACGGAGCGCATCCTGGTGGCTGCTCCTCACTGAGGTCCTGCAGAAACCACCCTGCTTCTGCCTTCCCCCAGCCTGCACAAGGCAAAGCGCCCTGCAGGCCACCACCTCCTGTCCCCGAGGTGACAAACACCTTCAGACTCCCACTGCCACAGAGGCCAGAGGGGCCGACTGGCAGCTGACAGGCAGCAGGCACGGACTGAACTCGAGCTGGATTGGAAAGGAAGCGCCCCAAAGCTGCGGCCACAGCGCTGCTTCCATCTCCTACCTGCACGCAGCCTCCCGGCCAGCTCCAGGCGCTGCTGCCAGCACACACCGAGCCTCACAGGGGAGCAGCAGGTGCTGCTTGTGCCGTCCTTCCACACCAGTGTCACCACACAGCATCCCTTCCTCGCACTAAGGTGACAGACGCCTGACATTCTGTGACTTGCTGCACTTCCACCTGCACCCAGACAAGCTCCAGGACTCCCCACAGCCCTCCTGAGGCAGCTTTGGAGCCCAATTCCCAAGAGTGGGTGACAGAGGACCCCTGAGCAGCACAGTGCCGTGTACCCGCGCTCCCTGGAGCCACTCGGGACACGAATCCACAGGCAGCCTGCTCACCTCATCCTCAGCTCGCGCCCAGAGCTCTGGCCAGGACGTGGACGGCCACGTGCCAGCAGAAGCACGGCACTGTAACACCGTCAGGGAAACGGCAAAAACGCATTTGGGAGAGCCCTTACTAAAAATAAAGCCCTCCAGACAGTAACCCTTCTCTGTGCACCATTACAGGTCAGAGATTTCCCCCACAGAAGCCAGGCACGGGACCCTGGCTGAGGGAATGCTGCTCCCGTGCCTCTTCCACATGAACGATGCTCAGATCTCTCCATCACTTTCAGGCCAGATGTTTTTTTCCTCCTCTCCACAGCTGGAAGGGAACCTGCTGGAGCAGAGCCTGTCACAAGGTGCCCGGAGCACAGGAACGTTTCCCACTGCTCCCTCCCAGCTCAGCCCCACGAGCTCAGCTGTGGGGTTGCTCCTGTTCCTGGATGGTGCTTCTCATTCCACACACACCTCCCTGCAGATTCCAGGAGCCTGCGAGGAGCACGGGGTTCATCTGAGCAGCCCTGACAATCACACGCGTGGCAGGGGATCGCAGAAGAGCATCACCATTAGAAGCCTTTTTGTTGCCTGCAGGTAGCGATTATTTCTCCTTTGCCCTGTGCTGCTTCAGAAGCAAACAACCACGCCTGCTCCAGACAAAGTCTCCGGCAGTGTTGGAAGCCATGGGCAAGGCAGAGCAGGGAGGGGGCTGCACCCTTGGAGCTGACACACGGCCAGGACACACACACAGACACACACACACACGTTTTCCACATCACCTCCATGCTGGGGCTGCTCTGGAGCAGAGAGCAGAGCCACCAGCAGGCAGCCGGTCCCTGCCCCAAGGACACCGTCCCCGTGTCACCAGGCTGCTGCCAGCCAGCAGGACGGAGGTTCTGCTTTTGGCCAGCACGTGATGGTGCTCCTGTTGGTGAGCACCCCAAAGACACCCACCCCGCTGCTTGTTTATTGTGAATAATGAAAGCCACGGAGGGGGCAGGGACAAACTGGGTGAAGCACGCGGGGATTTGGGATCAGGAAGGGGTCTTAAGGGCAGAGCGTGCCCATGCCAAGCGTTCAGACTCAAGAGAAGCCCAAGAGGAAGGCTGCTGGGCGCACTTCTTAGCATTTTACCAACACTTTGGGTTTTTTTCCAAAGTATTTCGCACGCCTGTGCGCCTGCCATGTGTGCAGCAAACTTGGAGAGGCAGAGGAGAACCAAAAGCACCTTAAGCACAAAGGCCGGCCATCGCCTCCTCCAGGCCCTGCAGCCCCCCGGGTGGTTTTGGAGCAGGGCAGCATCCCACAGACACCAAGGGTGCCGGCTTTAACATTTGGTTTCATTTCAGAATGGAAACAAAACCTGGCAGAGCACATCTGCCCGCTTATCTCCAGTCTCACAACAAAGCCCAGGCAGCTGCTGAGGGCACCAGCTCGAGGTAAAAGGTCTGCCCTGCCGGCAGCCTTATCGGGAGGCAGCGCTTTAAAAGCCAGGATTAAAAATTCACCAGCAGCCTCGTCTGCAGAGCTGCGCCGAAGGCCGGCGAGTCAGACCCTGCCCCAGCACAGCACTGAAACCACTGAAGAGGCAGCAGTGCCCCCGGCCAGTTCCCCAAACAGCTGTGAGATTTAGAGGACGCAGCACTTTCAGTAAACATCCCCAAAAATTCTGCTTCTGCCTAAAATAACAATAACAGCGATACAGAACGCAGGCTGCACTGCGAGGTGCTGCTGCTGGCTGGGGAACCGCTCTGTCAGGAGCCTCAGGCACCCAACGTTAACCACTGCAACGTTGTTAATCACAGAACCGGCACCGTGCCTCCAGGAGAGCCAAAACCGAGCAAAATTCACCCAAAAGGTGAAAGCACCCGGATAAAGCCCATGACAGTTGACCCCACCACGACCCCCAGCCCCCCCCCACCCCCAGCCACACGCCCGGTGCGGAGCCCTCAGCCCCCAGCCCTGCCCGGTACCGACAGCAGGCCCCGAGCGGCACCGGGCTGCCCCCGAGCCCCGACAGCCGCCGGGAGCGCGGCAGCACGAACCCAGCGCGGACCCCGCGGCTTCCCCGGGGCTCCCCCCCCACCCCGGGCCCACCCCGGGCCCGCCTCAGGCCCCAGCAGCGGGGCCGCTCCCGGCCGGGGCCTGCCCCGGGCCCCCCTCCCGGCACCCCCGGGGGGCTCCCGCCGCCCCCTTCACCCCCCTGCCCGCCCCCCCGGCCCCTCTCCCGCCGCCCCGTGCACCCCCCCCCCCCGGCCCCTGCCCACCTCGCTGCCCGCCCGGCCCCGCTCCGCCTCCTCCCGTCACGGCGCCGGCCCCAGCGCTGCCCAATATGGCGGCGGCCCGGCAGGAAGCCCCGCCCCCCCCCCGCCGCCCCGCGCGCGGCACCTCGGGAGCGCCCCGCCCGCCCGTTCGAATCTACACAGGAAGCGGCGCCGCGCGCTGCCATGGCAACCGCCGGGGGAGGCTCCGCACGGCCCGGGCTCGGCGGGGAACCAGAGCCGCGCACATTCGTTCCGGCCCCTTCCCTTCCCTTCCCTTCCCTTCCCTTCCCTTCCCTTCCCTTCCCTTCCCTCCCTTCCCTTCCCTTCCCTTCCCTTCCCTTCCCTTCCCTTCCCTTCCCTTCCTTCCCTTCCCTTCCCTTCCCTTCCCTTCCCTTCCCTTCCCTTCCCTTCCCTTCCCTTCCCTTCCCTTCCCATCTCACAGAAATATTTCAGGCACACCACTGTAACCAAGTGTGTCCCAATTATCCACCAACCATACCCCAAAATATCCACGTACACCGTTGCACCCAGCTGTACACCAACCCCTCACCGACATTTCTCACTCCCTGTACCCAGGCGCAGCCCCGAGGTGCCCTCCCAGCCCAGCGCCCGGCCCGCCACCCGCCTGCTGTGCCCCAGCCCCGTGGGCTCCCTGCCCCAGAGCTGCCACAGGCACGCGAGCCGTGTGTTATTAATGTTATTAGCCGTGTCATGCACGTTATTAGCTGTGTCATTAGCGCAGCTTGGCCTCCCGTGATTAATCAAATATCTATTTGAAGCTCACTTCTGAAGATGTGTTTACAGCAGCAGCAAGAAGCAGCTAATAACTGGAAACCTAAAAGAGGCCCCAGTCCTTCCTTACAAAACAGGGGAGGGAACACAGCGCCCAGAGCCTCTCCTGGGGGACACCCTGCTGCCCGGCCACCACACGGACATTGGGACGTGAAATAACCCGTGGGCACCCCAAACACCCCGTGTGTGGGAACAGGATCTTGGGACATGAAATAACCCTATAGGCACCCCAAACACCCCGTGTATAGGAATGGGACCTTGGGATGTGAAATAACCCCACAGGCACCCTGAACACACCGTGTGTGGGAACAGGATCTTGGGACATGAAATAACCCCAAGGGCACCCCAAACACCCTGTGGGTTCTGGGGATCTGGACCTTGGGATGTGAAATAACCCCATGAACACCCCGTGTTGGGGGAACGACCCCACAAATAAAGCCCCCAACACCCTGTGGGCTCTGGGAATGGGGCTTTGGGATGTGAAATAACCCCACAAACGTGTTGGGGGAATAAACCTCACAGATAACACCCCCAACACCCTGTGGGATCTGACGAACGGGGGCATCCAGCACCACTCTGAAGCACATCCAAGACACTTGCATTGCTTATCGGGTCGTTTTTTATTTTGCTGTTGTGGGGCTTTCTCCAAAACTGAGCCCGGCGTGTCTTTTTGAGCTTTCCTCCAAATTAAACAGCACGGGTTTATCATGACGGGTGGTGCAACAGCTCGCGGCGTGGCAGCCAGAAAAGCAAAAACCCGGGGGGCTGCGGAGACCCCGGGGTGAACGGCAGCTCGGGGGGGCTGAGAGCAGCACCGGGGGGGCGAAAACAGCCCCGGGGGGGTGAAAAACAGCCCCTGGGGGGGGTTAAGCAGCCCCTGGGGGGGTTAAGCAGCCCGGGAGCTGTCCGGGTCCCGCTGGAAGCTGCCGGGGCTCGGTCCCCGCGGGGCAGGGGGGGGGCGCAGGCGGCACCGGGGCAGCTCCCGGCCCCGTTATCCCGGGGGGGAACCCGGGGGCTCTGCAACGACCCCGGGGGAGGG